ATGCGGCCCTTTGGACAGGCCTGTCGCCGTTGCAAAGATGATGAGTTTGATCTACCTGGTTTCTCAAAGAAACAGGTGGAGGTAGCCTTGCTCAGGCTGATCCGCAAAATCCGGAAGAACTGCTATGGAGATGAGGACGACGACGATGATGATGGTGGCTCGGCATGCTCTACCAAGGTGTGGACCAAACCTCACGAGTCTTCCCTTTGTGAGGCCTGCATCATGGGCATTTGCTGTCAGGATGATGACTAGTAACAGTATGACAAGTGTGTGTGTGTGTGTGTGTGTGTGTGTGTGTGTGTGTGTGTGTGTGAAAGAGAGAGAGAGAGAGAGAGAGATGACTGCAAAATGACTGTTGACTGCTCCTTTGGAATTTGTACATGTCCATTTTCCTAATATTATAAAGTTGGCTTATTATGTCATAATGAAGGTTAATGGTGTGTTATCGAAATGACCAAGACAAACCAATGTTAAGATTGTTAAAGTAAATATATAGATTTGTATCTTTTTTGTATTTTTGTTGTTATTAATAAAGTTACAAGTTTCACCATGTTTTGTTTTGGGGGTAATGATTATTTCATGGATTTCTAGATGAGGACAAGTGGTGGAATGGAACTAAGTAAATTTACTCAACTTCTTCCATTTTAGTCTACTTTCTGCTCCTCTATTTCAAAGGCAAATATTGTACTTTTTCCTCTGCAACAGGTATTTGATAGAATCCATTTGATAGACCAGCTACATATATAATACAGTGGTTCCCCAGTTGGGGGTCAGGAGTTATTGGATCAAGGGTCACAAGCCCAAAAGGTAATAAGATAATCATCTCAGTAGTATTACATTTTTTTGTATTTGTATTTTATTTTATTTAATGCCTTTCTCCTCAACGATGTATCCAGATCCCCATCTTAACAGTCGGTTGAGGTCTGCTAGATCCCTTTTTTTGCCTCATAACGAACCATCCTCAATTGATGACGATCAAGCCTACGTTTTCTCTACTCCCACCTCTCAAGCAAATCTTTCTTGAAATTCGCTGTTGCAATACGCTATTGAGGGGAAATAGGCAACTTTATATCATACCATGTCCTCTTTACTCAAAATTAGCTAAACCCTGCAACTTTCACTTTTGGCATTTACTGACAACATGAACACCTACAGGGTTTAATGATAATTTTTGGTTGAGATTTTATCAAGAAGATCTTGATTGAACTCAACGTTTTATTGGATTGTGTCAAAAGGTGTTCATGTTATTGCATTGAATCTGCTTTCTGGAATAAATCAGCTGGTAAGAGGTATATACCACATTTGAGGGAAAAAATAAGATCATGGACCATGGGAAATGTTTACGAAATAAAAATACCAACAAGAATAAAAACACATTTCTCATGAATTTCTGTCTCTGTGGGTGTTTTGAGGTAAAGCCAGATGCAGATCGAAACAATTTAAACATTTTCTGTTTATAAAATAGCTGATTAGGCATTTGCAGCATCAGCTATTCACTCTGTGCTTTCTTGTTATTTTAAAAGTGTATTTTTTTTATTTTGACCATATATTGTGGGCGGCACGGTGGTGCGGTGGTTAGCACTGTCGAAGGTTGTGGGTTCAAACCCTGGTTGCCCCGGCCTTTCTGTGTGGAGTTTGGATGTTCTCCCCGTGTCTGCGTGGGTTCTCTCCGGGTACTCTGGCTTCCTCCCACCATCCAAAGACATGCAGTCTAGGTTAATTGGCAACCCTAAATTGTCCTTAGGTGTGAGCATGAGAGGTTGTTTGTCTATGTGTGGCCCTGCGATGGACTGGCAACCTGTCCCGAGGTCAGCTGGGATTGGCTCCCCCCACAACCCTGTATGCAGGATGGATGGATGGACCATATATTGTTTGGGATACATCCAAATATGTCTTATAAGACTTAGTTGATATTAGATTATGTTGACAGGGATTCCCACACCTACTTAAAATCTGGACATTCTGTCAACCTTTATGTTATTAAAATAAAATTTAAAAATTTAAAAATAAACCTTTATGTCACCCATTTCATTTAGTCTAGTGTGCCCCCTGCTGGTCATTATCCTACCTTAAATTAAAATGCTCAAAGAGGAAGGTTTCTATGTTTTCGAGAGACATAATAATATTTATTACAATGGTCTTCATCCTAAACCAACATTGAGTGAGTACCACTGCTGTGACTTTTGCCCCACACAATTGTTAATGCAATGATATAAAACTAAAGTAAACTAAACTAAAGCAAAAGGAGGCAAATATTATCTTAATGGAAAATCTTTTTTCAATTTATAATTTATTTTAATCATAAAAGACAAATCCAAATATTATTTTTATAGGCTACACAAAAAAGGAAGAAAAACACAAGCAATATAACAATCCGTTGCATGTTAAATAAATATTGGTAGACAACCCCCCCAGGCTTACAGAAATGTTTTTTAAGGTGTTGTTGATGAATTGTCCACATGTTGTGCACTTAGAAGTCACTTGTTTGGGATCTAGCAGGTGTTCAGAGAGACGTAAGTTAAAATTAAGTTAATCTTCATTGGACCATCATACAACAACATGAGCAGATTAATAGGTACCACATCTTAGGGAACTGTTGTTCAAACTGCATTTAATTTGTTGCTATGCAATATTTGTTTTGATCAATTTGAGAAGTGTGCAGATATTTTACTTGACTAAAAGTAACAATGCTACAGTGTAAAAAATACTTTTTTAGTGAAAGTACAAAAGTTTTCAGAATATAAAGTACCACATATGTAGAATGGCCCATTTCAGAATCATTATGTTGAATTACTGGATAACAATTAGTGATGCATTAATGTGTTTATCATTTTAATGGTGCAGCTGGTAAAGGTGGAGCTAATATATAATATATGTATTAGTTGATTTATATTGAGTAATATAATCTAAATCTGCAAAGTAACTGGTAACTAAAGTGATCAAAGAAATGTAGTGGAGTAAAAAGTACAATAGAAATATAAAGTATTATAAGATGGAAATACTCAAGTAAAGTACAAGTAACTCTCTCATACTTATAGGCTACATTACTTGAGTAAGTACTTAGTTAACAATCCAGCACTTGATTTAATTTAATTTATAAATTTATGGGAATGTTGACCCTTTTCAATTTAAAATGTTAGTTTAACCATTCAGAATATTACAGAGGTAACAAAGCAACATGTAAGTAATAATAAAATATGTATATCAAAAAAAGAGGTGGATGGATGGATGTATATGCAAAAGTATGAGTCTATGTAAGTATGTGTTTGTGCATTTGATATGGATACGTCTGTGGAGTTACCCTGTTGCTCTATGTTTGTATCCCCCCGCCCCGTATTTTATAGCAAAATTAACCCAATAAAAAAGGGGGAAAATAAACTTAATACAGGAATAGCTGCTGCATGCTGACTCTCAGGTAGAATCTCCCTAACCCTGTGAAGCTCTGTCCCTCTAACGCTCATTTATTGTCTCATTTCCCCACAGTTTCTGCTGCTCATCGTGCAAAAACACCTGGCATTCAGCAACATTCAGACGATATTGGTAGGGGCAATGTAAGATCAAAGCAAATCATGAACACCAAACCTCACGAGGCTTCCTTTTGTGAGGCCTGCATTATTGGCCTTTGTCAGTATGTTGTGTGTGAGTGTTTGTGAGCGAGAGACTGACTGCGGAATGACTGTTGACTGCTCCTTTGCAATTTGTAAGTGTCCCTTTTCCTAATATTTCAAAGTTGGCTTATGTCATAATGAAGGTTCAGTTTATGCAGATTTGGATCTTTTTTGTGTTTTTTGTTAATGGTTATTGGTTATAGTTAATTGTTAATGAAGGTTAATGGTGCGTTATCAAAATGATCAAGACAAATAGTGTGTTTTTGTTGCTTATAATAAAGTCTTAAGTTTGACCAAGTTTTGTTTTGGATGTAATTATTATTTCATGGATTTATGGATGATGAGGACAAGTGGTGGAATGCAACTAAGGAAATTTATTCAACTACTGTACTTCCATTTTATTTTAATTTCTGCTCCTCAAATATTGTACTTTTCCTCCAGAACAGGTATTTGATAGAATCAGATCTTAATACATAAATGGGAGTTACATGTTAACCTGTCCAATTAAAATGATCTCCATTTTGACCAGCTTCAACATTACATTGCTGGTTATATATTATTACATTAGTATTAGCAATGCAATGATATACAGTGGTTCCCCAGCTGGGGGTCAGGAGTTGTTAGACAAGAGACGTGTGATGTTGCCACTTTTGCCAAATTACAGGATTTTTCCTGGTAATAGGCCTACACATCAAAGGTTCTCTTAAAGAGAGGGGGGTTATACGACTTAAGGAGAAAGTCAAATTTTAAGACTCACAGTTTTTGAACAACCAGGAAAGTTTCGGTTTATTTGTCTATGGTGTTAAATTGTGGGATAAACATATTCCGTTTTAAAAAGATGTACAAAGAAATTATATTCAAGAGGTATAGAGATGATGTAGGGTTCTAATACTCACCTGGGGTTTTATTGAATTATATATGTGTATAAATATTGTTGTTTGTGTGAATACATGTATGTGAATATAACTATATTTGAATATGTATTGTCTTTGTTTATAGATATATTTTTTTGCTAGGGTTTTTAGTTGTTTTATTAATTATGGCATTTGGAGTTGGGGTTTTACTTATTCCTACTTCTTTTCGCACATGTAAATAGAGGTGTTAAAATACCGGAAATTATGGAGTTTTTGTTTGGTTGTTTTTTTAACACTGTGTTTTTTAAGTTCGAAATAAAGATATCAATAAATCAATCAATCAATATATATAGATATTGAAATACAACTGTTTATATCAGCTATAAAATAAAATTTAAAATGAAGGTTTCAGTAAGCAAACAGTAAACCAAACAAAACCACCCAGAGAACCCAGACAACCGACCAATCAGGTGAGAGCCCACCGTGTGACACTTGGTTCCGAGCATGCGCAGTAGGCTTTTCTCTTTGGCAGCCACAACAACACACTGAACCGAGTCAGTCAGTCTCGCCCCTCCGCTCCCAGCAGCAGCAGCAACGTCCCCGCCGGGTCCGGTGGCAGAGAGGATGGTTCAGCGGAAAAGCAGCCGTGGATGCGAATGACAGCAATGAGAAAATGGCTCTCGATTTGCGAAGGTTTCCGAATGTGCGACTAGTGACCAAGTGAAACGACCGTGTAAGTAACGGCGGAGATTTACAGTTGTCCTGCTGTCGGGGAGGTAGCTAACGTCCACCGGAGGGAGAGACGGTTTGCTAGCTTCGGTAGCGGCAGGAAGGTAGGCTGCTTTGGGTGTTAACGTTTCCCCATGCAGCCGTGTGAAAACGTTAAGGTAACGCGTTTTGTCGGCGGCATTTCAGGTTACCTACACCTTAAGTTAACCACTCGCTGTCCGGCTAGGTTAGTGATTCACACAGACTGTCAATGTGTTGAACAAAGGAGCTTTAACCGAGGGGCCGCATGGACAGAAACATGCAGAGAGAAGTCGGCTGCTGTTTGTTTTGTGCTCCATTTCATGCTGACACACTTCTTCAGAGGTAACCACACGAGGTCTGACCCGAATATTTAGCTGATATACACGGTGACCTAGCTAATTTTGGTAAATGCCGAAGTGCCGTTGAAGTAACTTGCATCTCATTATGCAGCTCATGCCTGACTCCCTCAAGTTTTATGTATATTCTGACAGCTTAGCTTTGTTGCTTTAATACAGCAGCACCATCCACCCACACTTTGACTGAGGTCTTTGAGTGAATGTCTATATGAGCTGACAGCAAGTTTTGATAACTGCAATGGCACCACAGTGGGGGATTTCTGTTTTAAAGACATGTGAGAGTGATTGTAACAGAGCTGTAAATGTACATTTCACTTTCAATGGGCTTCCCGGTAGGGTTTAAGTACTGTGTCCCTGTTTGCATGTCTAATAGTAACTTAAAGTCTATGATCATAGCTGCCTAGTTAAAACAAATCATAGAGCTGAGATACATATAAGTGTGATGTTAATATTTTGATATGACCCCTGGAAGAACTGTAACTGAAGATTGTTGTCTGTTAAATCTGACAGTCGATTAGCAGAAAATGAATTGGCAGCTTTGTTTTGTCATTAAAAGTATCATTTATCAAGCATAACTAGCAAACACTCTAAAGTTTATTCTTTTCAAAAGTGCCGAAATGCTGCTTTTCTCTGTTTTATATCATTGGATATTGAACACGTTTTTGTAACCATGACTTGAGTTCTTGTCAGCAGGAATCATCAGACAACATTTCCAGATAAGATTCATGTGTTTGGGATTCTTGAGCTCCTGAGTCATTAAGTCTTGATTATTACATTGCCTAAAATGCCTGTTTTGTGTAGACCTGTGCAACTTACTATTTTATTCATAAACATACCTTTTGTGCACGGTGTCCAGACAGTAAGGAATGAAACACTTCCTCAGCCTCACTCCACCCGACCACTAAATGACTGTAAGCTCGACCAGCTTTCGTTATAGTAGATAATTGCCCTGTCACTGCCAAGTTCAAACAGCAGGACTTGGGATCCCTGAAATTCCAAAGTTCCTCCGTGTCCAGACTTCCTGTCCTTATTTAGTAAGAGAGACTGGCGGAGATACACAGAGGAGTGAAGTGAACTGGAAGTAAACCAGTGTGCACAAAACAGAGAGCCAAGCAGACAGACTGACCTATTAACTATAGTAACCCCCGCCCCCACCCTCACCACCACCCCCCTCCAGATATACAAACACAGACACACAAGGTCCAGTCCACTGCATGCATCACAGGAGCAGAACTTACAAGATGTTGGCTATTATTCGCCAGCGGTAGCAGCTTCTGTGCGGCCTGAATGTCTTCATCTGTCAGTGTGCATTTTCTCTGTCTGCATCCCTGTCTGTATAGAAATGGGAGGCAGAAGAGGGGAGGCAGCCAGCCACATTATTCAAATGTTCCAGAGCCTGGCCAGCCAGCGGCCAACTGTAGCCGGGCTAAAAGAGGCTCTTTGTGAGGACCAGACAGATGGCCATAGAATAAAGACTGTAATGATACCCTCAGTGGCTCACAATACACACACAGACACATGCACTCACATACATACTCTGCTCATTATAGGATGTTATGGTGTGTGTTAAAGACAGGACTGTGTGTGTGTGTGTGTGTGTGTGTGTGTGTGAGAGAGAAAGAAAGAAAGAGAGAGGTGGGGAAGACGAGGAAGGAAATGAAGCAGAACACATTGGTAAAGATAGTGATTATGTACAAAATGTGAAGGAGAAAGAGTGTGTGTTTGTTTCTGTTCAACACACTGTTATTACTCTGGTTTGCATTTTTTTTTAATTGAAAATTGAAGATAATGAAAAGATCATGATAGCTTGTGGATCTAGCTTGTAGAGATCTTGTGGATCTTGCTGGGCGAGTAAGCTGTAGCAGCTATAGCTGCGATTATTTGGTTTAGAGCCTGAGAGGCAAAAGTAAAACTGGTTTTGGCCCATTGTGTTAGTGCTGCATGGTTTAACACACATTCAGACTCTCCAGTAGAAGACAAGCATGTAAACAGTCTAAAATATGCAAAATCCTCCAAAGTAAGCTCACTGGACTCCCAGTAGCCAATTGTGGTAATATTGAACATGCCTTTTCATCAACTGACTAACGATCGATGGCTTGGATATCATTAACCTTCCCCTCTCGCCTGCCCTCTTTTTAATTATGTCTCTGTCTTTCTAGCTTCTTGCTTCTATCCCTTCGTTTTCCCCTCTATTTCCGGTAGAGGTACCTTCACCACCCCTTTTCCCCCCACACTCATTCGAATTCTTACCTCACTGCATGTCCCTCTTTCCACCATCCTTTTCCTGTAATCAGTCTTCCCCTCTCTCTCTTTTACTTCCAGGGCAGGAAAACACTGAACCATGTTGCTCTAAGTTGTGACCTGTGGTGAACGGGGAGGAGGAGGAAGAGGAGGAGGGAGGCATAGGCAGGCGGGCAGGCAGACGGGCATCTGCCATAGCTCCCTTTAGGCGGCCCTTTGCAAGCTTGAAGCCATGGGCAACACGGCCACCAAGTTCCGCAAGGCCCTGGTGGGTGGCGACGAGGCCCTGGCCTGGCAGCTGTATGAGGGAAACCCTCAGTTCAGGGAAGGCCTGGACCCGAACGCCTCGTATGGAGAGCAGTACCAGCACAACACGCCCCTGCACTATGTCTGCCGCCATGCCATGACACGTCTGCTCAGGTAAAAAAACATGTTTTTGTGGTTTGGATTTGATTGAGAATGTCAGAGGTGCTAATTGAATTCGACAGTTATATTTAAGATCTAATGGTGTTAAGCAGTTCTCCAATACAGTCACAAAGGCAGTTATGCCAGTGAGTCATATTAAATTGAATAACAATTTGCATTATGTCAGCTTTAATAGATTTCTGAGTGTCACCATTTTCACCATTGTGTTGTTAAGGCAACTTATTGCACAGAAGTCCAAAGAGGCCAGTCGTATATACTGTCAAATTATGTAAATGATGAAGTCTCATAAATCCAGTTGACATGCGCCAGACATGGTAAAAAGTGCCTTAGCCATGAAGAACATTGGCAATCAGATGCAATTAGACCCACACCAACCTACTGATTGTCAAAACTGCAATGGATAGCATCAAAAAGGACCAATTACTAGAATGAGCAACTGTGAGAGACTCAACAAAAAGCAAACATGAAAGGGGCACTCCACATGAGGTTCGGTGTACTCATCATGAGGAGTAACTTTACTACTCAGTTGTGTGATGATTATCTGTGGTAAATCTACTGGTAAAATAACTCAGGTTTACCTCAAAGTGGGCTTCAAATTTAAATCAGAAAGCACACTTTACAAACTTGGATTCATAGAGTTTGAAAGACCTGGGCCTAACGGAAAGCTGTCTTTTACTAAGTCAAGATGTCTCTGCTTCTGCTGTGTAGATTTTCCCGGTCTTTTTAATCTCTTTCTCTTGAGTCCCCCAACTTAATGAAAGTGCAAAGCTAAATCACCACAGTGCCACTTCGCAAGCGTTAGCAGATTTTTAAAAATTTACTGCATGGTTCTTTTTTTCTGTAAGGAGTTTTGTTGCATGCATACTTGTTTGAAATAGGTGTACACAAATATACACCAGCACTGTCGGATAATGTCTTGAGAGAAACAATAAAGGCAAGTCACTGAGTCTTAAGCCTAGTACACACTACACGATTTTTAGCCCGATTTGCCGCTCGGCGACCGTCAGGCTGTGATCGGGAGTAAATCAGGGGTTGATCGGCGATCAGTCGTTATATGTGAACTACTCAATGACGTGTCAAAACGGCTCCCTGACACATTTCTGACACATCGCCAATGTCTGCCAGATATCTAGCATGCCAAATATCTGGAGAAGTCGGCCAACTCGACATCCACATTCAGCCAATGAGAGCAGGCAACTACTTTTTCACCGCAAAACACTTTTTACTCACCTCCAGCGCTCTCTGTAGCTCAGACAATCCCAGCTACCTGCGTGTCCCAATCCATTCTTTCACCCATATTCTTTGTCTTTATAATTGCTGTCTTTATAATAACAAACAACAGCTGTTTTGTCTGTAGGTTCGTGTCATTTCCCGTTTCACATTTCACGTATGTTTCTTGACAAAACGTGGTTTAGGGACCAGTGTCGGGTGACAGAGTCGTTGTCAGCTCGCGTAATGTGTGACCCCCTGTAATCGATTAGTCACGTAGTGTGAACGCCACAACGACGTCAAGACTCCCGTCACAAGACGGCAAGTTGTGTAGTGTGAACAGCACGCAAGACACCAGTGTGTCTTTTTACCCCCTGCAGGGATAATCAGGCTGATGGCCATGACTGAGACAGCTGATTCTGTGACTCAGTAGTCGTCCTCATCTCCTCCTCCTCCTCCTTGCACTCTTCCTCTCTTTTGCCCTTTCTTTCCATGATTACGGGGGTCAGAGGAAGCTGTTTGAAAAAGCCAGTCAATTATCTGTGCATCTGCATTTGTGCACACGTGCGTGTGTGTTTTGAGAGAGGGGAAACTGTGACTCCACAACCGCTTAATGCATTTGAGTCTGTGAATATAACACAGTGAATCAATTGGTGTGCTATTTGTGTCCCTTCCTACTAACCTATAATGGGCCGGAGAGGCGTGCTGAACACAGCGCTCTGCTCCTGATTAGTATCAGAGGAAATGCTCCTTTGTTATAGCAGCTCGACTGGACCCTCTGTCCAAGCAGATAGACGACCGAGAAATCTCAGACAAAATAAAGACTCATAGAGGACAAGCGTGGGCTGGTAGATGCAGAGTCTGTTTTTCAGATTATTTTTAACGTCTATCTACTCCTTGTTTATTTGCTGTCCTCTAGTCGTCTCCGTGGGTTGGATTGGCTAGTAATCCCAAGAGAAGTGCAAATCACAAGTGGACCTATTACTGGAAAAATGCGTGTAGTTCAGGAAGTGTAACCCTATCTCAACAACAACAACTGAATGTTGTTCTAAACAGTGTTACAAATATGTAAAAACAACAACTGTGACGTCATGTGGTTAGACATATTTGTCAACACACTGCAGCTCCCGAACAACTCCCCTTTTTTATTTTTGTGCGCGGGCAGGTTCGGTTACCTTTTGGCCGCACAGGACAACCTAATTCAGGATTTCAGTGTGAATTGCTTTGACTCTCCCATGAAGTTTCCTGCCCTCGTCAAATGACTTTGTGGTCTGAACAGTTTGGTGCTCGACAAGTGCAGCAAAACATGTGACGTCCCCTAGACTGTTGTCTGTATTAGACTGATATTAGGGCCATCCATCCTGAACTGCTGTGTGGGTGAATTGGCAGTGCAGTCATTAGGGGGAGGCTGCAGGGGCTTGTGGCTGACAGGATGAGAAGGTCAAAAGTGGAAGAGCAGGACAGCAGTGGACGGATATGCTGAAAGGCTGCACAATAAGGAAACATTCAAACGCTAATTCAATAGTGGCTGCTGCTGCTGTGTCCAAAGTGCAGAGGGAGCAGAGAGGCTTAGCAGCGTCTTTTTTCTTTTCTTCTTCTTTGCCCCACTATTCATATTAAACCACTAAAGAAATAGAAACAGGTTTTGTCCTTACAGATTAACATGCTGCTACCATAGGATAATGTAGAGGAGGATGTCATTTGGGAAAAAAAAAAAACTTTGTAGAGGAGGAGAAAAAAGCAAGTATAGGACAGAAAAGGAGGGGAAAGAATCATGAAGAGGGGAAAAAATAGGTGGAGCCAAATGAATGAGCGGAAAGCTAATCAGTAAATGGAGGTTTTGACAGACAAAGAGCAGAGAAACACTGTTTACTAAACAGAACTGCAACCGCAGCCTGGCTTCCAGTGCAACTGGCACATCCATCATCGTGTGTGTGTGTGTGTGTGTGTGTGTGTGTGTGTGTGTACTCCTGCTAGCCAGCATGGTCATTATCTCAGAGATGTTAAACAGAAATAGTCAATATTCTGCCATCTTTCTTCTCCCTCTCTCTAACACTCATCTCACAATCCATCTCACCATTATACTTTAACCTCATGTCATCTCCACTCCATCCCCCCATCTCCTCCTTCCTCCACAGCGATCTCTCTCTTTTGTATGCTGCAGTTTCCTCTTCCACCCTCTGATTGAAGTCTTCTACCTATTGCTTTCTTCTCTTCCCACGTCGCTTTTGAACTCCTCTGAACTTGTTTTATCCTTAAGCCTTCTTCTGTTTAATTTATTCCTGGCTTTCTTTCCTGCATCGTATAGGTCCTTCCTGTTCAGTAAAGAGGGGAACCCCAACAAGCGCAATGTGCACAACGAGACGTGCCTCCACGTGCTGTGCCAAGGCCCACAGATCCTGCTGCTGTCGGAGGGAGCGCTGTCGCCCCGACTGGCCAGACCCCAGAGGGACGAGCAGCGGCGTGCGGACTGCCTGCAGGTGTAGTTCAGTGTACAAACTCAAAGTGTATTATTTAAAGTTGTTTCTTTTGTTAAAGTTGACAACATGTGTTTATTTGTGGGTTCCCCTGTCGATAGATGATCCTGAGCTGGACCGGAGCCAGGTTGGAGGGAGGTCAGTATGAGAAGGCCAACGTCAACGCCACCGACAATCACCACAGCACCTGTCTGCACTACGCTGCATCTGCAGGCATGAAAAGCTGTGTGGAGGTGAGAGAAAGTGTGTGTGTGTGTGTGTGTGTGTCACCGAACTCGCATTAGGATGAGCATTATTTTCTGTATGGCAGATCTGTCTGTAAAATCTTTGCCAAATCCAATCACACGGAGCGCAGTCCTGGAAATCTGTACACAGTATTATACCAGTCCTTGCATCAAGAGCATCTGCTTTGTTTCATTACTGTCTGATCCAAGTAGTGCTACTGCTTCCTCCCTTGTTTTTTTCCAAGAAATTGAGCTAAATACTGATATGTGCATCTTTTTAGATAAAAACACATTTCTCTTCATTTCTACATTCCCTCTCTTCTGTCCTTGTTTATTCATCTCTTTCATAAACTGTCCATACCTCAATCAATTTCCATTTTACCAAACTTTCTTTTGACTCTTGTTCCCTTCCACTTGTCGTTTTCTCCATCTTTTTACATTTTCTGTTTTCTAACACCACCTCTTTTGTTTTCTCTTTCTCTGTTCTCCCCCTCCTCCTCTTTTCTCTTTGTCTGCTCCACTTGCTGTTGCCGCTCGCTTCCTTTGTTCTCTTTTGTTGCAAGTTCCTTCAATTTCTTGTTCCTCTCTATTATCCATGTCTCCCCTCTTTCTCCCATTCCTTTTGTTCTCTCTCTTCTCCCTCCTTGTCCTTCCCCTCTAGCTGCTAATCCAGAGCGAGGCGGACCTTTTTGTGGAGGACGAGGACAGGTTGACGCCATGCGATCACGCCGAGCGGCATCACCACACCGAGCTGGCCCTCAGCCTGGAGTCACAGATGGTTTTCTCCTCCTCTTCAGCTCAGCAGTCAAACACAGACGCACATGGCGAAACCAACCTGCTGCAATACAAGGAGGTGAGATCACAGTTACTAGATCTGGGGGTTTCCTGCTGGCTGTACTTTTAATGTTAATGTGCTATTTTTATTCTTTTTAAGGTCAGGGACCTTAGTAAGTGCTTCAACTTTGAAACAGGAAATGTCCTTAAAGTGAACCATGTGATGGTAAAAAGAAATTCTCCCCCCCCCCTTCAGCCTTATGAGGGACTGAAGCTTCAAGACCTGCGCAGGCTGAAGGACATGCTCATCGTAGAGACGGCTGACATGCTGCAAGCCCCCCTCTTCACTGCTGAGGCCCTGCTCCGAGCGCATGGTGTGTGTGTTTGTCTGTTAAAGAAAGTCAATTATCAACTTCACAAACCCTCACAGCACTGTCAGTGTGTGATTGCATTATTCAGAGAAAATGACATAGGTATTCCCTGCCTCCAAACTTGTGAATGCAACCTCTCTCTTTCTTTCTCTCATTTTCTCTCAGACTGGGACAGAGAAAAGCTTCTGGAAGCCTGGATGTCAGACGCTGAAGGCTGCTGCCAGCGCTCAGGTGTGGCCATGCCCATCCCACCGCCCAGTGGATACAATGCCTGGGACACTCTACCCTCGCCTCGCACCCCTAGGACCCCGCGCTCGCCCCTCACGCTCACCCTCACCTCACCGACTGACAGCTGCCTCACACCTGGAGAGGAAGGCCTGTCTACGGTGAGACACCCAGTGATGACTTGAATACCTTTTAATCTTAACCAACTCTTCAAGATGCAGCAAATCTCTGATGTTGTTTTTTTGATAAACCTACGTTTGAATGTGAATTGACTTATTTAGTTGATTAATGACGGATGGATGATGATGAAATGAAATGGTCCATCCATTACATTTCCACAATATCCACTGTATTTAAAGTCTTGTGTTGACAGCTGACATGAATGAGTGGACTAAAGTGCATCTATTGCAAACTTGTCTATGTATTAAAAAAAAGTTTATTCTAGTTGAACTTTTGTCAGACTGCAGAGTGTCTCATTTATTTGATTATAGGTTAATGTCTTATCTTACCAGAGAAAAAGGAGGTCATAGGCCGTCTTTCTCACAGTACTTCCTCTTTCTACTCTTTGGAGTTGCACATCAGCCTCTTTTCCATTGTAATTACGCATCCAGTACTTGTCTGCCTGCAAATCCTGACTAAGGTTTAACTTGTAGGCTATCACAGTGTTCAGACCTTAAAGGGTTAGTTTGGATTTTTTGAAGTGGGGTTGTATGAGGTACTTATCCATAGTCAGTGTATTATCAGCAGTAGGTGGCGGTTGACATGCCCCTTGTTTGGAGAGGCAGAGAGTTTTACTGGCACAGAAGCTAAGCAATATACTGCTGTGGACGGCCATCCACAACTAACTGGAGTACCTTATACAACCCCAATTCAAAAACCAACCAACGCTTTTAAGTTTTAAGACTCCTTAAACTGGAAGATTTGTAGACGTTAAAGGATGTCGGGCTGTATTTTAAGAGAGGCATGTGATTTGATATTACTTGAAAAGTATAATCAGAATCAGAATCAGGTTTATTGCCAGGTATGTGTTCACATATGAGGAATTTGACTCAGGATTGTACACTGCTTACGATGTGCTTACTTATACAATAATAAAATAATAATATAATGGGAGTTCTGCTTGTCTTTCGAAAAATAGGGATAATAATATTGGATGGCCATCACATCACAACATGATGGTAATAATAAAATCTAATACAATGATTCAACCTCGCAAATTGGCCTCAGGAATTACAAAGAAATTGACTTGGTTCTCTTTCACACAACCAAACATGTTCATTTGTTGCAAAGGTAGGATTTCTTTCAGTTGCTATATTGGTTTGCTGTTATTTTGTCCATTTCCAATGTAGATCATGAAAACACATCAAAAAGCATTGAACCTCAAGTTAATGGAATAGAGTAATTTGTTAGATATCACTTTGAAATCATTAAGTGTTGGACAACATCTGAATATCCTGCGATGTGTTTATCTTCCGTCTCCCTGCAGTGTGGAATCTGTCTCTGCTCTATCTCAGTGTTTGAGGATCCAGTGGACATGTCCTGTGGACACGAGTTCTGCAGAGCATGCTGGGAAGGGTAGGGACCTGTGTTTTGTGTGTGTAAATGTTCCTGCATACGTCAGGGTGTTTGAACATTTATGTGTCAGCTTTCCTGACACGTGCTCACTGCGTTCTTCAGGTTCCTCAATGTAAAGATTCAGGAGGGTGATGCACACAACATCTTCTGCCCGGCCTACGAGTGCTACCAGTTGGTGCCGGTGCATGTGATCGAAAGTGTGGTTTCCAGAGAGATGGACCAGCGATATCTACAGTTTGACATCAAGGTAAAAACAATACACACGGATATTGATTTATGTTCCCAAAGTCTCACCGCAGCTAAATTGATCCTTTTTTTTCAACTGAAAATTTATATTGGGTAATTTGCTGCATATTTATATGACAAATTATTTCCTGTCTGTTTGTTTCTTCCTGTTTTCCGTTATTTCCCAATCACGTCTGCTCTTCAAATTGTTCTGTTCTTCATCCTCTACCTCTGTATCTTCTTATCATTTATCTGTGTGCTCTCTTTCGCTTTCTATTGCAGGCATTTGTGGAGAACAATCCCGCCATCCGCTGGTGTCCCGCAGCACGCTGTGAGCGGGCGGTGCGGCTCACCCGTCCAGGCCCCGGGGACAGTGACCCACAGAGTTTCCCCCTGCTGCCCTCCCCAGCCGTCGATTGTGGCAAGGGTCACCTTTTCTGCTGGTACACTTCACGGTTTATTGGCTGCATACACACATACAATTATGCACCTCTGATCTCAGAAATACACTTAACTTTCAAGTTTCAAATATAGAGCAATGTAGGGTTTAAGCCACACACTTTCCCTCTCCATTCATTTCATACTTTCACACTCAACCCAGCTTGACGAAGAGGCCACTGTGTTGCACAACATGGTCATGGTTGTTCACTCAGGGCTTGACAGCGTTAACCAATTTTGTTTTTTTGAAAACTACGCTGTAAAAGTTTGCAGGCCAACATCATGACCTCATTCTTCTCTCACTCTTATCTTTCTGCCTAGCTTTCTAGGGATGAGTGATAAGTTGTTATGCTGCTTTAGTCTCATAGTATTTGACTGTACTTTATTTATCACACTCCCTGACTGCAGGGAGTGCCTTGGCGAGGCCCATGAGCCATGTGACTGTCAGATGTGGAGAAACTGGCTCCAGAAGGTCACAGAGATGAAACCTGAGGAGTGTAAGTCTGATCCTGTGTTGTTTGTGTTTCCAGTTTTGTTTCCTTGTTAATGGGGTTAACAGCAGGAAACCATACGTTGCAAATTATACTGCAGAGCGGTCCACATGAAAGACTCAAACACCTCTAACCCTTTTACCCACCTTCGCAAGAATCATGTAGAGTCTACGGACGAGAGCTCAATCAGGTGACTGCCTTTCTCTCTCCGTTTTCGTTTTAAAACGGATCGCTTTTGCTACGTTTCCGCCTCCCGTCCAGATTAAAACGCCCAATCCAAAGATGTTTGTTTGGGCAAAACAGAGGACTTTATAAAACGATGACACAGACACTCACATTTGGCTTTCTGATTTCGTCTTATTAGTCATGCAAAGCAAAAACACGATGCTACTGTCAGAGTTTTAGTTTCTGTATTTTTATTAAAATATTTTGTACTGTGTAAATACTGTAAACACTTGTAGCCTAGGCTACTGTGCATGTCTCTGTATTTACTTTGCAATGACTCCCAGTCTGTTTTCCGGCACCACAATCTCTTTGTACTCCTGTGTTGCTTTGAGAAACAGTCGCACTTCGTTGTCGGTCAATGCAAAAAAAAAAAAAACCTGGTGTGGTTCTTCGTCTGTATTACTTTCTTCTTTCGCCAAATCTTCTGCAACTGCGGATTAGCATGCCCAGTGTATGTGAACGGCCTCTAGATGTCGTTTTAATATAGACTCAGCTAAACAGCTAAAACACTGCTGTGGACAGAGAAGATCATATTTGTTATAAAAAATTTTTAGAAACCGTAGTAGTGTGGATGCAGCCTAACATTACCCCACTCCTCTCTCTACTCCTCTCATGTCAACCCTCCCGTTTTCCCCGTTCTAAGCCAGTATCCTCCCGTTTAAATGTTTCCCAGTAAGTCTCCCGTATCTTTAACCTTTATAAAATCAACTAAAAACCTGCTGGCCTTATATGAAGTGTTGGTACTCTCTCCTCTGGTAAAGCCGGTGGCAGTAGGCCTATGTAAAAGATTTAGACTGTGCTTCTTGCACAAGGATTCAATAAATGAAAACAACCCACTGAAATAATATTAGGACTATACTAGTGGTAAACCATATAAAATTATAAAGAATATTGTAACTATAAGTAATATTAACAATATACCAACAGTATAATGTGGAATTAACATTGTACTCTTATTTATTTAAATTTCCCTTATTTTCTAATCTCAGTGATGACAGCTATGACTCCTCTCTGTAGCCCACTCTCCCTCTCTCTACCCTCTAAAGCAGAACCTGCCTGAGCTTTCCAGAATAAAAAGCGGCTACTTCAGAGTTTATCACCGACTCAGCCTTTTTTGTTGCAGTTTTTATAGTTGAAGTAAATGTATAAAGAAGGTGTTTGTTCTGTTTTTGTAGTTTATTCCACAGTAAAGCTATATTTGTTAAGCTATAAGGTGTTCACAGTAATCAGACAAAGGCTTCAATGGTTGAAGTCTCTAAGACAGAGGGAATTGAATTTGTTGCCCATGTGTCCTGGCAATAAAATAAACAGTTGTCATTTACTTTATCATCTGTTAATTTTAATACTTAATACATTGTTTTTAGGACTAATTAAATCAACATACAGTATACTGTATAATGCTACATGATAAATAAAAAGCTTCAAATAGACTCAGTGATCGGTATCGGTCGATACTGCTTTCAGCAATCGGTGATTGGCCCAAAAAATCCTGATTGGAGCGCACTTATTGAATTTACAGAAAACGTGCTATAACATGATATGTATCATTATCTGAATATGAAACTACCAATATCGGGATATGAGATTTTTCATAGTGATATTGCACAGCTGTAATGTCTTTTTAAAAAAAAAATTATATATATAATATGCATATGTCTGCTGGAGGGTGTATCTGCAGGACAGATGTTGGACAATTGTGATGTTGCTAACGTGTGCGTGTGTGTGTGCTTTCCACAGTGGCAGGTGTGAGTGAGGCCTATGAGGATGCTGCTAACTGCCTGTGGCTGTTAACTAACTCCAAACCGTGTGCCAACTGCAAGTCGCCCATTCAGAAGAATGAGGGATGCAACCATATGCAGTGTGCCAAGGTATACAGATTAATCTCTCTGTCAGCTGTGTGTCATCATTTGTACAGATAATGAGTTCTGGTCTGTATTAATCATTCTATTTTTATATATTTATATTTACCGTATTTTGGTTAGAATGATGACATGATCTCATCTCTCTCTCTGTAGTGTAAGTATGACTTTTGTTGGATCTGTCTGGAGGAGTGGAAGAAGCACAGCTCATCAACAGGAGGCTACTATCGCTGTACTCGCTATGAGGTCATTCAACAGCTAGAAGAGCAGTCCAAGGAGATGACTGTAGAGGTATAAATACACACATATGCTCAAAAGATTACAAAATACACACTCAGTCGATCGCACACAAGCTCTCACTGAAGCAAACATTCGCACAAAATATATTCAGACAAACCTGCTTACATTTTCCACCTGCAAGAACTGGTTGATTGCCTCTCTGATGATACGTCATTGAACCACGTGTTCATGCGACCGTCAGCTTTTCATGTACTCAACGCACGCCAAGATGTTTGAATGAAAATGAGTTGCTTCTTGTTACAGGCAGAAAAGAAGCACAAAAGTTTTCAAGAGCTGGACCGTTTCATGCACTACTATACCCGCTTCAAGAACCATGAGCACAGTTATAAGGTAATGCCCTCTCGACACACGCACACACAATTATAACAATGCAAAGCTGGCCAGAATTTCTAAAAAGGCAATTTGGGATGCATAACAATCTGATGATCATGTGTATTCACTCTACTCGTTGATTAGTTGGAGCAGAAACTGCTGAAAACAGCTAAAGAGAAGATGGAGCAGCTAAGCAGAGCCTTCATTTGCCGTAAGTCCCTCTAATACTGATTGAGTAAAGCTGATTGTCAGCTGCTTAAGTATGTTCCTTTCAACTGATACGAGGTGTATAAAGTGTTTTGTTTTGTTTTAATCTTAATGCTTTAATCCTATCTGCATTATAATGATAATCTCGGTCCAGGCGAAGGCACGCCTCCAAACACGCGGTTCATTGAGGACGGGGTGTGCGAGCTGCTGAAGACGCGGCGCGTCCTGAAGTGCTCTTACCCGTACGGCTTCTTCCTGCAGCAAGGCAGCACCCAGAAAGAGATATTTGAGCTCATGCAGGTAATCTAATACATATGTGCAGCGAAAGTAAGATTCTTCCTGTAGAACAAAGCGGTATAAAGATTTACTAGGTTTGTTCCAGCAGCCATCACACAGATGAATAATTCATAGCAACATTAGTACCTGAATTTTACATTATTTAGTCTAATGGTTATTTATTCTAGTTGATGTTTTTATTGTTATTTTTCTCTTTTTATAACATGATTAGTTTTGATTGAGCACTTTTATCATGTTTGTCTGTGTTGTTTGTACAATGTGTGTCAACATGGATGCCTTGTCTGTCTACTGGGAACCAAATCTGCCCACGGGTACAAATAAAGTCACTGAACCTAACTTGTGACATGCATGTGTCCTCTGAAAGTACAGGACTAACAATTTAAGCCCATCCAGTCATCCCTAAAACCACACAGGGTTAAACTGGTTAGAACAAAGTGTTGTTAGCAAGTCCCGTGGCAATCTGATGTTTAGGTGTTGTATTACTAATGGTGATGCTAGACGACATGTCAGGGGGTCAACAAAATCATTTCCATAATTCTTCTTTGTATGAATATTCAGCAGAGCAGAGCTTTGCAAAGATATTTGAACCATCAGAGGTCTATTTTTCAGACACTTGAACAGGCTTAAAATTTTTATAAAAGTCTCCTGTGAGATAAAGAATATTCTAAATATGCTCCGCTCATGTCTTATCTATAATAGGAATTAAATATGAGTTGCAAATTTGACTTTTCAGTCTCCGAGCAGACGGAGGTTATCATGCTGCTGTTTGTTTCCTCCCAGACGGACCTGGAGATGGTTGTGGAGGATCTGGCGCAGAAGGTCAACCGGCCGTACCTGAGGACGCCCTGCCACAAGATAATCAGTGCAGCCCGTCTGGTGCAGCAGAAGAGGCAAGAATTCCTGGCGTCGGTGGCCCGAGGCGTCGCTCCCAATGATTCGCCTGAGCCTCCCCGCAGGAAGTATGGACAAACACACTTGGACTCACTCAAACAGTACATGGTTTTGTTTACTTCTTCCCTCCACTGGCAGGGATGAAGAAGAACATTGAAGTTATCTGCTTCATGTGTGTCACTGTTAGCCAACATTTACTTGTTTGTTTTAGTTACCCTGGAGGATCATGGGACTGGGAGTACCTTGGCTTTGCCTCCCCTGAGGTAAGCAGAGACGACTCCTGTCGCACCATAACTGTTTTGTTCTGCTAACTTTTTGGTTCATGCCCAGCTAATGCTATTCCCTAAACCTATGCTTAGTGACCTAAGTCATCTAATGCATGACCACGGCTGCAGCTGACTTAGTTTGCTTATGTGTGTTAAGATGGGGAGTCGTCACTCTGTACTGGGAGCAGGAGATCAAAGAGAGAGACTTTCACAGGTAACGCACTGTTGTTCCTGGCATTTTGTGCGTATGCATGGGCTAAATTCTGTGTTCTGTGCTTAAGATTGTGAAACTGCTCGATACAAAACTGCTCGATAATAACCCATCTTGAACCACTCTTTTGCAGGATTATGCTGACATCCAGTACCGCCGTAGACACAGGCCACGACGCAGAGGAGACATGCTGAGTCTGCACAACCTCAGAAGCAGCAGCAACACGCCAGAGACCAGCAGGAGGAGTGACAACACAGGTCTGGCAAATGTTTTAATGTAGTAACAGCCTCACAGAAAGCCCTTTATTACAAAAAGGAATATCCAAAATGTGTATATACAGTACATGGCCTTTTGTACCATGTTCACTTCTGTGTAGTACCATATACAATAGATTTTTACAGCAATATATTTGCTCTAACTGTGGATCCTAATCCAGCTCCATTCATTGCCTCCACTTATAAATTTTGACTTGTCACTACACTGGACATCCAGCAAATGGGATTTTAAGTTATTGCAACATTAATCTGATCTGGTCGAAGCACGCAGAGGCATTGATCACTGGGATCAATTGGCAATCAGGTTAAACAAAGCAGTCCTTGTTTTAATGCGACATTTTGTGTTCCAGAAGGTCCAGAGAGAAGTGAGGGCCGCAGAAGAGCGCTGGGCTCGCTGGATGAAGATGACCCAAATATCCTGCTGGCCATCCAGCTGTCCCTGCAGGAGTCCCGCAGAGAGCGAGGCCTGGAGGGAGGCATGGAGGGGAGAGGGGAGATGGAGCGTGGACTGGACAGAGGACAGGAGAGGAGGCTGGGTCCCACGGGAGACCTGGGTGATGTGGCTTTGCACTCTCTCAACACGGACGGACCTCCGGGAGCCAGGGGCTCCTCCTTCCCCACCTCTCTCCTGGATCCTCCTCGCCCTCCTAACAGGACAGACTCCACCTCCCAGCCTCCCCTGTCTAACTCCCTCCCCCTGCCACCCCCACCTCCCTCCCTCAGTGCAGAGCTGCTGGAGCTGGGAGACAGCCTTATGAAACTGGGGAACATAACCACTCCTTATGACCTGGACACACACACGCAGGAGCAGCTCTGCTCACACCACACATACAGCCACAGTACACTCACTGCTCCGTACACCAGTGAACCTGCTTACAGCGACTGCAGTCATAGACAAGACCAGAATGCACTGGGCACTCCGTATGTGCTCAACCATATCACCATCACAGATCCTCGCTATGACGGCAAAGAACAGAGTTACTGCCACTCCAGTGGTTATTTGGCTGAGGCTGAGCACACTGCCTCCTGCGCACTTGAACGCACCCAAAACCCCGTCCATTCTAGTTCATATGACCGGGAACACACAGCCACGTTTGACAGCACCCCAATATCGGACAGCTCTTACAACCCCTGCCCAGAACGCAGAAGCTCCTACACTCAGGAGCGTCCTGCCGCCTACGATCGCGAACACCCATCGGACCCCCAGCCCCCTGCCCAGCTGTGCCTCCCGTCTCCAGAGCTTGAGCCGGAGCTGCTGCTTTCACCGGTGATCCCACCAGGAGGCCCTTTCACCCCCAGCGACCCTCAGAGTCTGGAGCCCCTGGACCCCACAGCCAGTGCCCAGCTGCTGGACAACATCATGGCCTGGTTTAACAACAACATCAACCCCCAGAACAACCCCCAGAGCCTGGCCCTCATCCCTTCCCCGCCCACCACAGAAACTGACTCCTCCCCTGACACACACACTGAGACTGAGTCAGAGAGCCAGACCTCCAGGGACGTGACCCCCATCCCGATCTGGCAGCCCCTGGCGGGCGAGCCAGAAGCTGACAGGGGGCCGGCAAGTCCCCGTCTAGGTGCTGCGGGTATGAAGGGCCTGAAGACATCGCGGCCCAGCACTCTAGACCTGGAAAATAGAGATGCTGGCGAGGAGGGTGTGGACGCAGGGTGTGTGGCTGACCTGTCGCTGGACGAAGCGCACACACACCCGTGCTCACACTCCCAATGCGGAAACAGTCCCGCACACACTGCCCAGGCCACAGAGAGAGACTTAGACCTCGTCCTTCAGTTAGAAGGGGACCAATCACCAGAGGAGGAGTGGGAGGAACAAGTACACCTGGTGTGACAGCGACAGAGCGATGTGGAAAGAGACGGTTTAGTCAAGAACAGGGAGAGAGAGTGATGAAAGAGGAACAGAAAACAATAGGGGGAGGCACTGATGTAACGGCTCAATGAAAGGTCTTTGGGAGTTGAGTGTTTACTGTATGTATTATACTGTATCTAGAGAGGACATACAGCCCTGCGGACTTTGTCCAGTAAAGATGATGTCATATGCATTTAGATTTAGTTTTTTTTAAGTGCTTTTGTCTGCTTTAAGAAAAACAGACAAACTATTCTTTGAAACAAATGAGTGTTTAAAACAGAGTACATCAATGGGAAGCTACTGATATCATAACACATAAACACATAAAATGCTGCACATGTTTTTTTATTTTATTTTATTTATTCCCTGCCTCCTGTGTTTTGTCTTATCACTTTGTCCAGGGTGGCGTTTTGGTGCTGATCATGCTGAAATCTTGCCTTGTGTTCCCACACTTTATAAACACGCTGACCCAACCACGAGCCTGTTCAGAGCTCCTAGAGCCAAATAAGATGATGATGACTGTAACCTTGGAGCTTGTTTAGCGTACTGTACAATCAGAGGGCCTGATTCTGATTTATGGACCTTCATGCACACTGTGCCTGCTTTGTTAGAGCGCCTACTGATCTTTCCGATACACCTGTCTGCTCAGTAAACGTCACGCTAGTACAACACGCTTATCTGGACTTTATGATATATTTATCTTTTGTAATACTCCAGTGATCACAGAAGAGAAGTGGTCTTGTCCCACTGCACAGGGAGATCAGAGGTCAGTCTCAGCACCTCAGCATCATGTGTGCTTGTTGTCGGAGGGAATTGAACCTGCTCACCGCACCATCCTGCTACCCATTCCAAATAATTCTCAGTCTTTATCAGAGATGAGCTCTCATCCATATTGCTGTATTTTGAAATTGCTTTGGCTCAGTTTTCACAATATGCAAAACTCTTCACACAAAATTCTGTACGGAAAATTTTGGGGTCATATTGATATGGAAAACATCTTTCATCTCTAATTAGGCATCAGATAGTCACAGTATTGTGTTCAGTGAATTTTATTATATTTTAATATATAAACATTCTTATTAAATAATGCGGCCAAGTATTCTGTGGTCATTTCCTCAAGATTATACAAATAGCAACGACAAAAAAAAAGTGCAGAAGTCAGTGAAATAATGTAGAGTAAGAATTACATATTTAATTAAAATTATATCAATAATATTACTATTCTTGATGTATAAAATTAAAAATAAAAAGGTTACAAAGTGATTCACACAAGGCAGCGAATTTAAAATCAACAAATTATATAATAAGATTTTATAATACAAAAGATAAAACTAGATGTAGTTAATGTAAGCTAGAAGAAATAAAAAGATATTTATGTGTTACTGTAAATACAGATAAAGAAATCTGGACTCTAACTTTGCACTACAGTAAATCATTCACACAAGTCAAAATGATGCATCAGTTTACTTTTTTAGTAAAAGCTTTGATATGTCAATCAATGGGAGTTTTATAATCAGTACACTGCTGAAATGCTGTAAAGCATATGACATTAAACCACTATAATTTACACTGCTGCACTCAATACACTGCAACATTGAGATTTGACTTGTTTTTCTCCTTTCCAGAGCAATTTTGTTGCAACGCTGCTCCTCAGTGATAAAATGTAATGACATGTAATGTTAAAATCATGAGAAATGCATATTCATTCTTTGATCTGTACGCTTAGTAATTAAAATTGAAACTTGTCTGTATTCTGAGCGCTGACTTTACAGTTTGTCTCTTTGCACATTGCAACTGTTGTGAAAACTGATCCAAAACAACCAGACAATGTAAATGGGAACACTAAAATTTAGTTTGTTTTTATCACATCTATTCCACTACTGATGGCCGGTACCGTGTGCTGTTGGTAGATTGGAGATGGGTTGGGTTTTTATTGTAATTTATCCTTTTTGTTTAATTAATTTGTTTTTTTATTCCTCATTATAGAGATGAAATTTCTTCCAGTTGAGACCAGAGTTGTTGGTTCTGTGTGCCTTTTTGTTTGGATCGTATTTGTTAGTATTTATTTGTGTCATTACTTTTAAAACATGCTAAACAAAGTTGCTAATGAAAGATAATGGGGAACACACCACCAGAGAATCAGTAGCCAAGTTTCTGTCATTTCACTTGATCAAAAACTGGGTTTATTTGTTGTCATTCAGCCTTTATCTTTAAACTTTTATTGCCCAGCTGTAATGTTTACAAGCAAATTAGACACTGCCTGTTGTGTTAATGACACAATTTGGTGCTTTGGGGGGACTAAAATTATGATAACGAGAGTTTTTAATCAGACTTTCATGGCAGGCCAAACAAATGTAAAGATATCCTGTTTAAGAGCAAATTCTGATTTTGTTGAAATGTCTCCCTCTACTTCAAAAAAGTAGGCAGTTAGACAGAACGTGATATGCAATCAGAATTTGAGTTTCAAGCTGGTTTAAAGTGTGAGGTCTGGAGTGGTCCACTGAAGTGATCTTGGCTGTAGAGGAAGTGACAAAAAAAACTAAAATAACACCTTTTCCTCTCCTTGTTGAACTCTGAAGGTGCAGTTTGGTAGGTGTTGATGAAGACATTTCACAAAGCCTACTAAGATGTGAGGGCAGCTGATGATGCCCATAAAATTTCAGACGTTGTTTCCTGAAGAATGACCGTTTGTTTTAGGTTGCATGATTGCAACAGGACACACAATGGAAGCACTGAATCCGGCGTCTTTTAATTTGCACAAACATGCTGTTAATGTGTTAAACTAATCCAGTGCTGTCGGACAAGATGTGGAGGACTGATGAGTGCAGCTTTTATTATTATTATTTTGTTTGTTTTTTTATTTAGAATTGGGTTTCTGGTGTCAGGGGAATGGTCCTGTGCCATTCTGTACTCCGTATATATAAAGTTTATATTTTAACGATCCCTCAACCAACCGCTGCAGACTAAAAAATAAAAAAATAGAATTGCACTCTCATAAATGATACTTGATACATTCCCTGTCAGTCCATAAGAGAGGTTTGATGTGTGGCCAAAACTGTAAATGAAAGTGTCAGTGCAAAGTTTACTCAATAAAAAGAGGTGAAAGTGTGTCGCTGTGCTTCACATCACGGTTTCTCTTTCCAGTGATTCCTTGGTAGAGCTGTAAGGCTGCAATCTACAGTCATTTTCCACTTCTCATAAACAACATGATCAAGTAAATATACTTTTAAAAACTGATTATTAGTCTGCGGAAGAATAACTTGTTTAAAAACTGTTGGTGAGATTCAGGAAACTACCTTCACCTAAATCTAAGTCTTCAAGTAAGATTTTTTTTAAAGTCATTATTCAAAACATCACCCTGTTGCTCCAGAGCAGTCCCACTACCAGTGAAAATGTACTGTTCCAACCATCACCATAGTAGTAAAAGTACTCAGTTAAACGACTCTTTAGCAACAAAGACTGGCAGCCAGTGAAAACTACAACTACACCAGCAAAGTTGTCTTATTCCAACTTTATGTCGTTGTAAGGATTTATTTTTCAAACTTAGCACCTGAACTCATCCAGTGCTCCTGAAACACAGTGAAAGTGTGTTTGATAAAAATGCACACAAAATGGCTAGGGTATGGTGGAGCCACATTCAAAGTTAAATCAGTGCATTTTATTCCTTAACAGCTTATTGTTGCTGGATTATTTGTTAAAAACACACTGAAGATCTTTTCAGATTCTTTACAGCCCACGAAGTTACTTATATACATGCTTTAGACTCGTAAGTAAATATACAGATATTTATTTTCAATCTGAAGTAGAATCAACTGGCATTTTTCTGCAGAAGACATTTTGACATGTCATAGTAGGAAAAGCACTGTTCAGCAGCTTAGGTTTCAGGGTCCTGGTATTGTGCTTGCTGGCTTACTGGGACACTTTGATAGAACAGAGACATTGTTAATGTTAGTTTATTAGTAACACCTCTGTTTTTCCTACTGTGTTAGTCAAAATACCTGCTATGAAAAACGTCCATAAATCAAGAACAACAGTGAAACAAAAACTTTCATGTTGCCTGAAACAATCTCTTGGAAACTGATACTCTTCTTGAAGACACTGTGAAACACAATTTCTTTCTTTCTATTTTAAAAAAAATGTTTTATCTGGTCACAAATCTGACGCTGCTGTATATTTATTGTGCAGACGTCTACTCATACTCCCCCTTTCTGAATTGTTCAATAAAGTTGAAAAATAATAGTTTAGTGATTAAAGTTATGGAATGACCGTATTTAATGGTTATATTTTATACAATAAGTGTAAAGGCTTGTGGTCTAAACTTTACACGTGCTAAATATGTTCGTTGCTCCACCGTTAGGCGGCGATGTTTTTATTGGTAACGTTTCCGCTTTGCTGTCGCTGATTGAGTGACGTCATATCAGCGCGACGTAAACGTAAAACGTACAACAGCGGCCTGTGTTTTCATCTGAGCGCTGTAATTTTTTATCTTTGGTGGAGGATTTTTCTCTACAGTCCGTCACCATCATGAAACTAGTCCGGTAAGCGGTCGTGAGAAGTCACCGTTTATTGAGTGCTGTGATATGAGATGGTGAAAATAAGGCGATGCTGATGGATGGACTTAGATGTGAACGGAAGAACGGTGATGAGGCGGGAAGCGGTGAACGAAATGAATGGAGGCGGCCCCGTGTTACAATGAGCCAGGCTCTTATTAAAGCCTCAGATGAGTGCAGACATACAGGCTCTAAATTAAGTGTAGAGAAGTGGATTTAGTTGTAGTGTCACACAGGTATTATAGCAGCAATACTCGCTAACTAACTTTAACAAACGTAACGTTACCGACGCAAAGGTTAGTTTGCACACAGGCCTCGTTTGAGTTTCGCTCTTCTCTGCAAAGTTCACTTCACATCAGCATTTAGCGACATTATTTAAAAAGCCGTAGACAGAGGCGTTTATATTTATTTATTGTTGCTCCCTAAATTAAATTAAATCAAAGCTCCCCTCGTCAGAATACATTTGTTTTGGTGCTGAAAGCTACATAGCTTAGCTAGTTCGGTAGCTAACTGCAGGCTAATCTTAACTTTAAGCGATGTATAATGTTGAAGTAATGTTCGTGTGTAGTTGTGAAAGGTTAAAGGCAAAGATCTGTGTTTTCACACCGTTATTTTGTTTGATACTTGTAGGTTTTTGATGAAACTCAGCCATGAGACGGTTACCATTGAACTGAAGAATGGCACCCAGGTCCATGGCACCATCACAGGTAAGAGCCGGCTGGTGCATCAGTGAAATGTGTTGCAGCTACTTGTGTACAAGTAAACTGCAGTGAGAGATTTGTTTTTCAAAGGTGGGACATAATGATTCTAGTTAAGGGTTTTATGTGATTTATAAATTGCATCCACAGGCCTCTGTATTGTGTTAAGAGTGTGTGTCACCCTGTTCTTTACCAAGCCTGTTTCTTTCAAGGTTTCTTCTATCCACTCCTTTCAGATGGCAAACACTAAAAACTGTGCCTCAAGGCCACAGTCTGGGATAAAGTAGGACAGTCAAACTGTAGAGTCTCAGAGTGCAGTTATGGTTTAATTGTTCTAATTTACATATTTTACTCTTGTTACAGTCAGCTGAATGAGAATAAAACAGTATTTTGTTTGTGGATCATTGCCGCTACTTTGTAAACGTGTGACTCCTGTGCCGAGACATCATTCGAATCACTATTTTATAATTGCAAAGTTGACACAGCTTTTGGCTGTATTGGTATTTTTAAATGAGTGATTAGAGAGAGAGATTGAACAATAATTGTGTTCTTGAAAGACTAACAGCTGAAAAGTAGCTCCCCTCTCTGGTTAAAAGTTTAAATCTTTTTGCAGCTCTGACTGCAGAGTGTGGTCAGAAATTTGCTTTGTTGCATTGTAACGACACAGAACAGTGATGTCACAGGGTCCTGGAGTCCACCGGTACATCACTGCAGCGAGGTGAGAAGAATCACTGGAGGTTTCTGGTGTTTCCTACAGAATGACGGTGTAACTGTGGCGCACAGCTCTCCTTATTAAATAGGCTCCTTACACGCTTGCTAATAACTTTTTTTAAGCTGGGTCTCTGACATTGACAGCGTTGTTGACGGATTTGAGCAGCTGTGTTCATGAAGGAGAGAGCGAGAGGATGTGCTGCACAAATGTGCTATGGTGCTCTGCAGTCGAATATGATTTTAAATAGGCCTAGTTTAAAAAAATTAATAAAAATTCAATATGTGGCAGTCAGTGTTGATATTGTGGCGGGCCGCCACAAATAAATGAACATATGGGAAACACTGACAGGATTTTCCAGGGTGTTAAGTTACTCTTTAAGTTTACTGCCTCATCAGTCCCGGACAGACAAAAGCTCAGGTTTACCTGTCTGCACTAAATGTTTTTGAGACGTTCATATTTTCTGGTGTGAAAGTGCTGGCTTAGTGTGTATTAGAAGGTGAAACCGCAAGAAGATGCTTCAAATTTAGCCGGCTTAGTATGGACATGATGATTATTATTACTCTCTAGTCTCTTGCAGTTAGTGTATGTTGGCTTGCCTGTGTTCATTTTATTGCGTTTCATCCATCTTTACCTTATTTTCCCATTTTAGGTGTTGATGTGAGCATGAACACCCACCTGAAGGCAGTGAAAATGACTCTGAAAAACAGGGAGCCCACTCAGCTGGAATCACTGAGTATTCGTGGCAACAACATTCGCTACTTTATCCTTCCGGACAGCCTCCCACTTGATACCTTGCTGGTTGACATCGAGCCAAAGATCAAGTCCAAGAAGAGGGAAGCAGGTGAGGATTGTCGAAACATCATCAAGGGGTTCAGCAGAGAAAGAAACAGAATACAACACACTGGGCATGATACGAGGCTTTCTCTTGTAATGTTGGAAACTACATATTGTGATAGTTTAGTAAAGTTTTGCGTCACCTTGCTTTGCTACAATACATTGGCACCCCGTAAATGTAACGAGCTTGAACGGTGTTGGGAGGTGAACAATAATCTGACTTTTGATTATTTACATTTTGGCTGTCATCAAATTGTCACTACGACAAGTCCGGTTTTATACTGTAACCTTCAGTGGCTGGAATTAACCATACAATGTGTCCACGAGTTTAGTTTATAGGGGCAGTGTCTCCTTTTCCAGTTGGGCCTTCTCACAGTGATGCTATCTGAAACAACATCCGTCTCCACTTTTCTTAGGCTTTGGCTAACAATAGTGTCGATGGGTGTTTGTTTGAATCCTGTCTTGTTAGTGAAGCCTTTGGTTTTATTTTTCTTAAGACACAAATACTAAAATGCTGTACATTTAGTTGGACCTGACCAACTATTTATGGATTTATTTGTGTTCTTGAAGATGATTCTTAAGTTACAGTAAATTGAGTTCTCAACACTAATGTAGCATTAGCTCAAAAGACTAGAAACACAACTAGGATGTCATAAAGCCCAGAAGTGCAGGATAGAATACAAGACAGGGGGTCATAACATTTCTACAGCCACTAATGGGAGTGAGTTTGGTGTCCAAATGAATCATAAGTCTTGAGATTTCAAAAGGTTGGTATGTTTTTGATTTTTGGTGAATTAACACTCCATTTTTCTTGTGGGATAACGAAATGTGAGCTTTCAGTTTTCAATATCTGCATTTGACAAAAATGACCACTGACACATTTAGCTACAAGACCTCCAGTTAGCACAAAGAAACTGCTGGAAACTAGTTGTCTACTTGGTGTATTTACCACACCTTGTAAACGATTTAAATTATAATTATATTGGCCAGTACATCATCCTGCTTGTTTCACCTAACCAAACGGTGAGTGATTGCACTGTTAAAGGTGACTGTGATGCAGGTTTTGTATGATACATAGCATGTGTCGTGCAAATCATTTCCTCACTTTCATGCATAGCAGGAATGTGTGTACTGTTTTAAACATGACTTGATTTTCAGTATAGAGGTTAACTAGTCTACATGTTGAGTGGCCCACCTGACTATGCTGTGATACTCAACAAACCGGTGAATGTTTGACAAATGTTGCTAACAAGTATGCGTCTTCTTCAGTGGCTGGACGGGGACGAGGCAGAGGACGAGGGCGTGGCAGAGGAAGGGGACGAGGCCGGGGCGGCCCGAGGAGATGATCACCAGGCCGTACATTTGCTGGCCACCACCCCACTGTTTGTACAGGAAGTCTTTTTTTTCTTTTTCTCAGAGGAAACATTTTGTGAATTTTGTTTTTGTTCAAGTTTTGTTTTTCGTTATTTTGTACATTAAAATCCTTCTGAAGAGGATAAACTTGACTCTGTGTATTATTGCAGTTTGGTAAATGGATTTGTTTTGTTTGTGTGTTGTCACTCCCTTTGTGTACATAACATTGTTTTCATTACAAGGCTGAATAAAGTCTTTGCATGGAAATGTGTATTCCTCAAGTGGTAATAAGAACGCAATTAAACAAACGGAATTCATTGTTTTGAATTTTTAAATTTTGTCCCATGGTGCACTAAAAATGGTTCAAACATAAGGCATCTGAGGTCTGTTTCACAAAAGCAGAATTTAGAAATCCAGGATAACAGAAAAAGCTTGGCTTGACCTAGTGTGGTCAGTGCATCCTGGCTTTATCACCACAAAGGCCAAACCAGGCTCAGTAGGAGCGACTATGTCAAGCCAGGTGTAAGCAATTTAGATATACGGGCATCAGCAGCTTTCTTAAGAGAGCCACACGGTCAATCAGATTTATTGATGCTGAAATGGAAAAGACGTATGCAGCGTACTTTACAAACGGTGAGTAAAAGCAAAAATAAAAGGTTTACAATGAAAAATGCACACCATAATAAAATAAAAGAAACACGGCTGCAGTCTTAAAATGGTGAGAAAACGGGTTGCAAACAATAGAGGATTGACTGAGTAGGTGGCTAAAAATATCACTGCTCTTAAGTGAAACGGTCGTAATTATGTTACCATTCATGGCAATGTTGTCATACCTTAAAAGTGAGAAGGGGATGTTAATGTCACTCAGCCAATGTATTAATTACAACCACTTAATATACTATTCAATACAATTTTATTTATATAGCTCCAATTCACAACAAAAGTTATCTCCTTGTATTATTTAGATATAGATGGATACAGAAAAAGTAACCGTTGAAAAGTGGTGGGGACATAAGGTCTCAGATTAGGGGTGTGACAATACACTTGACTATGTGATGATGCACAATTCTGTGTTCATGAGAACAAGACAAGAAAAAAAAAATATATATATAAAAGGAAATTACATAAAACACTATTAGAAAATAATTTATTTAAAAATTAAGCCCAAAAAATAATTATTGGAGACAAGCTAATTTATTGAACGAGTTTGGAAAATGCTGGGAATGAATTAAATATGAATTTAGAAATTTCGCTTTGTCATTTGGGAAACAGTTTGCTAATGCAAACAAAGAAAGTGAGTCTCGGATAATTACAAATATGATAACATTATTAGAAAAAGTACATTTATCTGGAGAGGAACTGCAAGAACTGTCATCTCTACAACTTGAATTGGACAAAATATGTGAAGAAAAGGCCAGAAGTGCCTTAGTCAGATCCAGAGGAAAGTGGCTAGAACAAGCTGAAAAATGCACTAAATACTTTTTTAATCTTGAAAGTATGAACAATCTTCACTTGGTAAACTTAGAATTAATAACATAGAATGTGAAGAAACAATTTTGCAATATGTAGCCAATTTATATCAGAAGTTACATGCTACCGATTCTGAAAATGAAGGCGATACAGATATGTTTCTTAAAGACATAGAAAAAAGCATTAAGGGTATTGATGACAGTTTTAAATCAATCTGTGACCAGAAAATTACTTTGACAGGGATACAAACATGTATTGACTCTCTTAAAGAAAATAAATCTCCTGGGAATGATGGGTTGATAAGTGAATGTTATTTATTATTAAGACCATTTTTAGAGTCTGTATTTGAAGAAGGCATGGGAAAAGGAGAGCTACCACCAACCCTTCCTCAAGGTCTTATCAAATTAATCCCAAACAAAAAAAAGATAAATTAAGTATTGAGAATGAGAGGCCAATTAGTCTGGTAAATAACGATACCAAGATTTTTGCTTTGATCTTTGCAAAAAGATTAAAATCAGGATTGGATAATAATATTGATGAAGAACAATCTGGATTCCTGCCTGGTAGGAATATATGCAATTACACATGGTTAATTCTAGACATTATTGATCACAATGAATATATATTGGACAATACTTTTATTTTATTTGTTGACTTTTATAAAGCATTTGACACAATAAACCATGAATTTATGTTTAAAGTCATTAAATGCTGAAACCAGTTTCTAAATGCTGCCAAAACACTCTGAGTCAAATTAGCACATGGCACGACCCCTAGATTTGATATTGATTGTGGGATAAGACATGGTTGTCCCCTCAGCCCCTTCCGGTTCCTTCGTGTCACACAAATTATGGCTGTACACATTAAAAAAGGGCAATTTCAAGGTATAGTGACCTTAAATAAAGAATTTTAATTATCTCAACTGGCAGATGATACAACTATTTTTCTGTCAAATAAAGAAGAAGTGATCAAAGCTATTAGACGTGTTGGGGATTTTTCTGTTGTTTCAGGATTACAAACTTGAACAAATCTGTCTTATTACCACTTGTGTGACCAACCAGAAGTAGACGGTATCCCTGTGAAGAACACAGTTACATACCTGGGTGCAGTCATAGATAAGAATGAGAAACTCAGTAGTAACATAAATAATAATTCAATACAATTGAATGAATAAAGAGAAGGTTCAACATGTGGTTGATGAGGGATCTTTCCCTGAACGGAAGAGTTCTACTATCTAAAGCTAAGGGAATATCCAGATCTGTCTATGTATCCTTATCACTGGAAATGCCTACTGACATATACAAAAAAATAGATAAAATCCTGTTCAATTTCATATGGAGGAATAAATGTCATTATTTAAATAAAGATATCCTATGTAACACAAAAAGAAATGGAGATCTGGAGGTTTTAAATTTCAACACTTTCAAAGTTAAATGGTTAACTAAGTTAATTAAAGAAAAAGATAATATTTGGAACACCTTCCCTAAAAATTTATTTAATTAAATGGGCAGAATTGAATTTGTATTAAAATGTGACTATAAAATCGATAAATTAATTATTATTAATTATTATAAAATTTTCATAAACAAGCTTTGCTGGCCTGGAAGTTCATTTACAAGCATAATTTTTCACCAACAAGAATATTCATTATAAAAATCAATCACTATATTATGAGACATGGGTTGCCAATGGTATTATATTAGGTAAACAGCTTGTCAATGCTGATGGCCAGTTGCTAACGTATGAGGAATTCCTCTCTGAATTCAGTTTACCAGTTACACCAAAGGAATATGCAGTGGTTTTTCAAGCTGTGCCAAGAAGTGTGCTGCAACTTCTTAGAGGTTCAGCTATTGAGGTCTCAAGGATCCAACCAATTAATAGTACATATATATATATATATATATATATATCCTTGAAGAAATTGACATTACTAAAAATAAATGTTCAAATAAAGACATCAGGAACTATATCCAGTAAAAAAGACGTTTGAGAGATTTAGAATAAATATAGAGTATTCTTGCACTTCTTTCTGTCAATTACATGAAGAATCAATTTGTCATTTTTGTCACTTTGGACACTTCCTCCAAGAACTGCATCAGTATAGCACCACGATTAAAAACATTAAGAACAAGAAAGCAATCAAGACAAATTTCTTTTGGACAGTTGATATATTATTTCGAATCCACTATATTCTTTATTTATTTTGTTACGTCCTTCTTTTGTTTTTATTTATGTATTTTTCTCTTTTTATACATGTACGATTGAGACCATAAAGTCATTATGAAAGTGTTTATTGAGGTATTAAATCAGCTTAGAAGTACGGTCATTTTCCATTAGTTCTTGGAACCGGACTGCTTTTTGCAACCAGAAGAGTCGCCCCCTGCTGGCCGTTCAATAAAATGCAGGTTTGTGGGACTTCCGCATTGGATTCACGTCTCAGACCGGAAGCTTCCGGCTTGCTTGAAACGTAATTAATTTAAAAAAAAGGAAAAGAGTCGCAGTCTCTCTGTATTTCATGACTGCCTTATGTGACAGTGATAGTGGTCAAAATTAATGTCCGGCCATTGTGCTTTCACACAGAATTAGGGTACTGTTACCATTAACTCTGCCGCTAACAAGAGCGACAGTCGCTGGCAACCGAGACTTTATTCACTGACAGTTAGCTAACGTTAAATGCTGATTTAACCGCCTCTGGGAAACATTTGGCCCACCGGCGTACCTGTAAATCACCATGTTTTAGCTTATGTCTCGCCCAGCCGTCAGGGACCCACGAAGAAATATCAAAAGATGTCCGATACTGCCAATGGTCGCTTCATGTATTTCGCCTTTGGGAGCAACTTGTTGAAGGAAAGACTGCAACTGGCAAACCCATCGGCGAGATTTTGCTCAACCGGCCGGCTAAAGGTAACATGTGGTAGCTTTATTTTGTAGTTTTCCCGTATTACCAATATCACGTTCACGTCATGTGGAAAATACCAAACACCGATGCGGGGTGGTGGTGAGATACTCTTATGTTCTGTCCTAAGATTCCCGTAACGTTATGTGCTGATTGGCAAATATGACACATAAACAGCTGTTAAATATTAATTTATTGCGTTTATTAGCCTACATGTCCGACGATATGAACGCTTTCAAGTCGAGACCATGACAGTCGTTCATCTTAGGTTACATGAACACAGCATTGACTAGCTCGCATTAAGTTAGCTTAATAGCTCGCATTAAGTTAGCTTAATGCCCGTGAATGTACCACGGTGTCAATGGGGGGAAATTAAACATTAGCTGTTTGTAGGCTAATCCCGGTTACTTTATAGCTAATTGCGGTTATATCACAACGGATTATATTTCAGTTGGTTTACAGGTGGCAGTTTATCTCGGGACATCTCAAACAGCCCGGCCGTTTAAGTCACGGCAGGTGTTATGCTGAGTTCTAAATGTCCACCGAGAATTGCATGCAACTCCAAGTACGGTACTGCTAGTTAAAAACGCTATAATATTCTTTGGGGGGGTTCATCAATGGTGATAAATTATTCCTAGTGTGTATATATATATATATATATTATGAACGTTTAGAGTGATAAATAATTTATTACACATAGCATTCCTTAAGATTTTGCAAAAAATATGGGGTGATAACCGCATTTGATCAATATGCACAGCAATGTCTGTTAAAAAGGACCTTAAGAGGTGGATGCATAATTCGGCAGAAGATATGATGTCGGCTATCTGCCGAGATTTGTATGCACCTCTTTTCTCAGCATACGTGAGTGTTACCTCAAGCGATGTGCATGCAATTCTCGGCAGGCATGCAGAATTCGACATAACGGCTGTTTGTACTGAGGTCCGGCCATGCTGTGATGTCCAACAGCAAACAGGCACACTAGGGACACTGCTGAAAACACAAACATAGCACCCCTCTTTACATCACAGTGACATAAAAGGCATTGTGTTTAAAATGCACAATGCCTCTGCACTGTAATCAGCCTTTTGTCCCATGCCCCCTAGTACCCGAATCACCGCCCCCTGTCTGTGTGTGTGCATAGGACTATGAGTTGAACTTTGGCCTGTGGGAGAAACATGTGGACAACACTTGGCACGGTGGAGTGGCCACCATTGAGTCCTGTCCTGGCGCAGAAGTGTGGGGGGTGATCTGGACTTTGAGCAAGGATAACCTCTGCAGCCTAGACAAGTGAGACACATGGACAGACACAGCTGCTGATCAGCTCAGAGGTTAAATGTTTGTCATCTGAGCCAACACGTGCGTGGTTCTTGTTTGTGTGTCCTCAGCCAGGAAGGGGTGAATCTGGGGATGTACTCTCCACTAGAGGTTTTAGTGGAGACGGACAAAGGACTGGTTCTCTGCAGGACTTATCAGATGAACAATTTCCACGCCTGTCCTCCCTCCCCTCAGTACAAGCAGGTGTGTGCATGTAAACACAAACACTGGTCTAACACAACACACCTGACTCTAAGCTATAAGAGCTACACTATCCAGTAAATGATGCTGTTTTTGTGACTAAAATTTCAATGTCTCTGTGTGTTATAAATCAGGTGGTCTGTCTGGGTGCAGAGCAGAATGGACTCCCAGTGGACTACCTGAAGAGGCTGGAGGCCATTCAAACTAACAACTACTGCGGCCCCTCAATCCTTGATCAGATCAAACCAGTTATGAAGTAGAGATTTTAAGTCCAGTTGACAAAAACAACCTCACCTCTAGGTCCATTAAGTAGCTGGTCTGAGAAGGTCACGAGCACAATAGAAAACAAAATAGAGCACAGAAAAGTTGCAAGTGGGCCTTGTGTAGTGGTGGGTTACTACAACAACCAAGGTCCACTTAATAGCAGTTTCTGGAGTTTTTCCACTATCTTCATTATTACCTTAATCATTAATATAATAGCATTTAAATGATAATATCATAAGTAATGGTGATGAAGACTGAGATTCAGTTCACAGAATGTGGAAAAAGGTAGATGGAGGACTGGATCATGAGTGAAGATTTTCTGTTAAACTATTTCTGAGGTCAAGACTGAGACTGAAACGGCTATGAAATTTAATTGGCACCACTGTATGGCCAGAAGTTAATAATGCATGCACTTAATACAAGGTAGATTTATTTTTGTCACATTACAACAGGTTGTAAAGTGAAATTAAGTTTGTAACCCGCTTCTGCTAGCATAACATACAAGCAATTATATATAACTAACATAAAAGCAATCATAAAAATGGTAAACAGAAATAAACAATATTGGGGGGGTAATGAGTTTAAAGGTCTGATAGCTTGGGGGGGGGTCTGCTTAATGAAGGTACAATTATTTGGTTGGGCCCCAAGACACGCCTTGTCTTTTATTTAGAGTTGCTATTCACTTGAGTTTTTCGAGAAATGTACTGAATTTTAGTGCCATCACAACGGGAGACTAAAATGTATGTGGCATGCTGAATATTGTTTAATTCCAGTATTTCTCAGGGGAATCACTGATGAAACATCCTCACGACTTATTGCACTGCCTTTTATTATGACCATTATGTTCTATTCCAGCCAATAAAAGGGGAAAAAGAGTGGCCTGAAGTTTTGAATGATTTTCCAGGTCATTCAGTTACACATGAAAGAAACATACCTTAGGGTGCTTTAACACGGCTTGATTTTAAATTAAAGCTTTTATTATGAAATGAAAATAAGAATGAATGAATCATTTACGTAAAAGGAAACCACTTTATTTTTTAGAACACAGTGGTCTTGGACAGAATGAGAACTTGTACATCTCCCAACATGTTTAATCCTCTAGGAATTATAGAAAATACAAAAACAGGAGAACTAAAGATATATGTTGAACACCCAATAACATGTTATGTTTTGTTGAATCTCAAGGTAAATTTCCACAAGTCTACGCAAATATGTAGACTTCACAATGGCACAAATCGTAATTTCATTTGACATCAAAACAAAGGCTCATGCAAGCAGTGTTCATTAACTCTGGGAATTCAGCGAACTTAACAGTCAACATTTGTACATTCTTAGGAATTTGGCTTCAAAACTGCAAGATCACAGACTTAAGCAGCCTGCAGGAGTTGGTGAGAAGTTTTCCCTTAAGCTGTTTAAATGTAGAGGGAGGAGTGGTGTGGACAACCGTAACAATAAAAAAAAAACAAAAAACAAAAGAACAAAGCTGTGTACATGACACAAATAGGTCCTAATATGGAAAACAAAAAAATATATAGAGCAAAGCATAATATAATAATAAAACAAGTCCTTGTTGAAGTGTGCACTTAAGTTTTGATATCAGCAGACAAGCAATGATGTAGGGATCGCAATTTTGTACAAATAGGCTTAAATAAGGGGTGCAAAGACAGCAAGTCAGTGCCTAAGTTGAAGTCAGTGGCCGCTGTTGAATGAGAGTGTAATACTGTTGCAACAGTCTGACAACATACATCTCAGAGACAATACATCTGTATCTTTATTATGTACTGAAGGAGCATCACAGCATGGCTCTACATTTATGTTGAAATAAGGACATGGACCACTGATAACATACTGAAGTCAAACGAAGCACTATTAATGAAGGCTACATTAAAAAACTGCCCTCACTTGCAGGTAACTTGTATGTTAGGCAACACGTTGTATGCACTGCATGATGGAGTTCTCTAATAAGTGTTAACACAAAAGGCTATCATTAAAGTATCGGTTTAATTCAGTTTTCTTTAATCAGGGAGATCTGTATTTTTTTTTTGTTGTTGCTGTTATCAGGTTTCATTTTCATACATTTCTGAACTCATTCCATCTGCTCCACCTGTTCCCCGTCCATAACTTTCTCATTTCCGCTTTCATCCATTGGTTCTGGTCCAGTCTCACTATGTTCCATCTGCTCTGTTGAATCAGTGGGCGGCTGCTCCGCGGTATCGGCAGCCTGCTGTTCTGGGATGATGAGATTGTGCTTAACTCTGCTCAGTTCTGTCATGTTGAAGCCGAGGAGAATGGCAGCAGTGTTCCTCTTCAGACTCTTCATGCACTTGCTGCGCTTCTTGCTGAAGTGGGCCGCCAACTCTGCTTTGGTGAGGGCCAGCCTCTTACACAGCTCGTCTGTCTCGGCTTTGGTCGCGTATGGGTTCAGGTTGAAGTATTTGGATATGAAGTCTCTGCGCTCCTCGTTGCAGCGGCGCTCGACCGGGGTAGGCTCCAGCGCCAGCTTCACCATGGGGTCGTTCTGAATCACAGGCTCTGGAGGGGGTTGCAGCTTTTCCTGCTCTCGCTTCTTGCGCATGGCTGCCCTTTGCTCTCGCTCTCGCTGGTTGGCTTCAATGACCTCCCTCCACGCAGCCTCCAGCCTCTTCTTTGACTGCAGCTCTGCAGCAGTTTGTGGGGGCTCTGCAGCGGGTGCAGCTTGAATCACACGAGCCGGAGTTAAAGTTTGTTTCATAGTCAGCCCTTGTGGCATTTGGAGAAAGTAGAGTCCGGATGGCTGGCTGAGCTGCTGAACTGGTTTTGGTGGCGGCTGCTGCTGCTGCTGCTGCTGCTGCTGCAGTGGTGCTGGAGGTTTGGGTGGCGGTGGTTGTTTTGGTGAACACCGGCATCGCTGAATGTGGAGCATCACCGCCTGCTGGGTGACCTTTCCCGTGTACACCCCATTGCAGTAAATGCACTTGAAAGCCTCCGTCTTGAGGATCGCGTGGATAGTGGGTGCAACGAGGTGTTTCTGTTTCAGGTGCTGAAGGTGTTTGGATTCGTTCTGAAACTTTTCATCACAGAACGGACAGTACGAACTGTTGATTTTCGCGGGTGCTGGGCAGATTTCTGGCTGGCTGCTGGGCTGCAACTTAAAGAAGATCAGGTCGAGTGAATTTGTGACCAAGGCAAGATTGACCTCTGTGTCCCCTAGGACCTCTTTTGGTGCCGTGGTGTGGACATCAAAGTAAGGGAACAGGATTCCTCCAACACCTTTAGAGTAGACTCTGTACTTCTGCCTCAAGAAATCACAGTATGCCTTGCTTGTGGGATTGTGGTGCTTTACATGCTCAGCAAGCTGTTTGATTGAAAAGAACAAAGCTGAACAGTACAAACAATTCAGGCCATGCAGCAGGTGTTGGAAGACGCTTTTTTCTGATAGTAGAATTTTGCACGTTAGACATTTGACAGTTTTGTCAGGCATTTTTTTCAAGAATGCTGCTCGTGCCGCCACACTTTCTGACTTTGATGTAGTGGACTTTGTCTGGTGGGCGACCTCTGTGTGCACGTCAAAGACATTGGAAGGGAAAAGTTCATTGCAGAGGGGACAGGTAATCCATTTCTTAGTTTGTGGTGAGGAATTACTTGTTTGATCTACAGTCTTGAGAGGGGTACTTGTGCTCTGGGAGGCTGGCATTGCTACTTGCAGTGGAGCAAAAGTGTACGTGGGCATGCCATTCATCTTGTTGCCTGTCGGGATCAGGTGACTCAGCAGAGACTGTGACGTCAACATGGTGCCTTGTAGGGTGATTTGGTTTGTTGGCGCATTTTGTGTAACCACAGCAGGCTTAGATACAGTTCCAGGTCCAGTTGCGATGTTGGCCTGCAGTCCTGGTGGAAGAAGAATTTGCTGCGCTTGCAGAGCCTGTTGTGGTTGAGCAGAAGCAGGCGCTAGAGCCATTGGAGTCTGTTTCAGCGACACATTAGACACAGTGGGAAGATGGACCATAGACGATCCTTGGGGCAAAGCACTTCGGAGGGCTATCGTGGCACCAGGCTGGAGCAAACCTTTAGCCTCGGCACTGGCTAGCTGCACTAGCGCTGAGGCTTGAGGGGGAAGAAAAGCTTGGTTGGTTCCAGGGGCACAGATCAGAGTAGCAGTGTTTGTAGTTCCCTGTAAATGCTGTAATGTCACCACGGTCCCAGCAGGCTGGCCATTACTCGGTAAAACCAAGGACTTGCTGTTGAACATCTGAGGTTGCTGTGGTTTAGGGGCAATATTTGGGAATGTCACAAACACCCCATTCAGATTAGGTGACGATTTAATGGTGTAGTTCTTGTTCTCATAAATCATACTTTGCACTTGTGTGCTGACTGAATAGTGCGATGGCTCAACCAGCATGTGATGCAACATTTGGTCTAGGTTTCCAGTGTTCACTCTACACACCTTGCAGCAGTAGACTTTTGTGGATGTAGACCCTTGCAGGTTTAATCTGTAACCGATATACTGTTCTGCCAAACTGTCCAGGTGCTTCAGAATGATATGCTTCTTTATCGCAAAGATAGAAGAGGACGGAAATCCACATCTTCGACACTGATACCTCTCATTTCCACGATGGGTAGGTAAAGACACTTCCCTTGGTGGCTGTACTTGGGTGGTGAGTTTGGCATGGAAGAACATCATGTGTTTCTTGACAACCTTAGGGTGGCCAATGAAGAGGCACTGAGAGCAGGGGGCCAGCGCACAGAATGACTGCACATATCCATGGCAGCGAGAGACGTGGCTCCTGAAGTTGTAGATGTTTTGTGAGGAGTACTTGCACAGGTTACAGCACAGAGATCGAGACCGATAAGGCCACTGAACAGAAAAGGACAAAAAGTGTTTTCAGTTTATTTCAAAGTTAAAAGTATATTGCATTCATATCAACCTCCAAATCTTAACCAATGGAAGGTGGTTTTAACTAACAGGTCAGTAACATTTTTAATTATTTAACACTCAACCTTGCAGATAATCTCTGATGTGTTCACAACTGTCATATTTACCTTTTTCTGTAGTCTGCCATTGTATCCATCTGTGAAATCAACCCACTCAGTATCCTGAAAGACCTCGTCTTCATCTGACTTTTTCTCTGCATTTTCTTTAAGATCCTGCACAGTAAACACAGACAAATCTTAAGTATAAAGTAACCAAAATATGTAACGTGTCCATTTAAAGTCCTACATTCAAAGTTGTTTTAGTAAATAAGGATTAGCAGTAAAATATAAGTCTCGAAGTACCTACAGTTTAAATCACTGCAAGGCATTCAACTGTGTGGTCATTTTGGCGGCTGCAGTCTTTGTTGAGATGACCCACCTCATTTATATCAGAGTGTAAAATTCTATATAGATAATGCAATCCTGTTCAACAGCACCACAAACTACAGAGTCCAAAATTACCTTTAAGACGAATCAGTGGCACTCTAAAACAGCTTCAATTAAATCTTTGACAGGAGGATTCACTGCATTAGTTTAAGATGGATGTACCAAATAAAGTGACAACTGACAAGATTTTACCCATTATTTTGTTTTTAAAATGATAAAGTCACACAAAATGGACTGAAGACTGTATGTAGTTAATCACCTGTGTAAAACGTGTACTCACAGTGTAACAGAAATAATTTACACAGGTATGTCAGCTGTGTCATCCTTCAAGTAATCTAAATAAAGAATATCAAGTTCAGTAGTGAGGTATTTAATTTGTCTAACCAAACTAAGCTCTGCTGTGGTCAATGGGCCAACTGTTTACTAACTCTAAATTTGCTGGGGAGGTTGGGGTGAAATACTCAAATATCTGGCCAAAAAATCCTGTAAATCCAACATGGCGATGAAGTAGTCCTGCTCATTGATGTGCAACATTATCCACATTACCACAAAACCACAGAAAGTCTCTTGACAGGATGCATGAGCTCAAATTGCCCAATCCTACTTGTTGCCATAACAACCAAAAAAAAAAAGGCATTATTTGAATGTGACAGTTATCACATTCAAATCAGATTTTATTACATTTTAAATTGTTTTTATCCCAAAATTGACAAACACTGTTCACCATAAACTGAATTGTACGAAACAGCCTGTGTGTGTGATTGTGAAGTCCACATGTAGTTATTGTGTTACTGCAGCATTGTGCGGCACTGATGCTCAAGACAAATTTCCCTCAGGGTATAATAAATCTTATCTTAATTATATCATTTTAAACTGTTGCTGCACCTAACATAGCGTTTATTGCATTGACATTTCAAATCACAACTGTGTTGAAACATGACTGATGACGTCACCTTTAATGTGTATTAATTGCAAGTCGAGTGACCAGTGATCAGCTAACGATACCCAACTTGCGTAATATGCATATAAAAAATAAAAACTACTGTGTAAAATGTAAAAGACTTTTAGTATAGTGATGGTTGGACTATTGGCACTGGATCTACGAGCACACAGTGGAAACTTCTGGAGAAACACTGATGATATACATAAAATCACCACAAAGAGTGTGTGTATGTGCAACAGAATGAGCATTGGGTTTGTAATTTTTTGAGCTACTGTGAAAAAGTAAAAAAAAGTGAGCTACCATAAAAATTAGCAATGCCACGATTTCAATATCAAATTGTAATTAATGGGCTTCCAATTTCGGCCAGGGCTGTGCTATATGACGATATACATTGTGTGACAATAGGAAAACATCTGTAGTTTCATTCACACTCTTTATTTACAATGATATTTTTACTCATTTGGACGACGCTTTACGTTCTTCTGCATGGCACGAATGTAGGCAGAAAATTTTCATGAAGGCAACACAAAAACATGGAGGAAAGTGACCGTGACGCAGAACAGGGTCATTTCTTCCAGGAGAAGGACTCCAAAACAGCCAAGACAAAACAAGGCGCTCGTAACGGTAGCCTGCAGCTCCACTTTGAGGCCACTGCTGTAGTCGGAGTGGACAGAGAACCAACAGAACTGGAAAATCCTACTGAAGTCACCGGTGTGCTAAAATTTTACCTTCCTCATGAGTTATGTCAACAAAGAAAACAGTTTGTAGACTATGCTTAGATTAGGGCTGGACGAAATGGCCAAAAATGTTATCACAATAAAAAGTGTCATATTATTTGATAATTATCACGGTATCAAATAATTTCTTTTGAGTTTAAAGGCTGATTTTTGTCAACACATGGTGCCAACCAGTGGATCACTTCACAAATCTGAGGTAGAACATTCAAAACAAGTGTGATAAAATCTTTGTCAACAAATTTGCATGAGTAAAATTAAGTAAACACTTTTTTCAGTCCTATTTCCTCTACAAAATAAACATCTTAATAAAAAAAGCCCTAATTCATGTAAGATTTAAGTGAATTACATCAAACATTTATTGAACATTTGTTATATTGTTATTGAAAAAAATTAGATCATGATAATTGTTAGTTTTATTGTCCAGCCCTAGCTTAGTTTATTTTTTTTAAAGGTCTTAACTGTTCTAGGTTCTAGAAAAATATGGCGGTTTTTAAGTCTCGTAAATGCATCAGTCTTTCAAAGTCCTTCTGTTTTTGTTTAATTGTGAGCTTGAATGGCACCTGCTGTTTGATGCAAAGAGTGCATGATCCAGTTAAAAGAAGAGTCACGAGATGGCAGAGGTAGTTTTATTACTCAGTGAACACTTTCCCAATGAGTTGATGGTCTCACTAGTTCATGATGTTCATTTTAGTGAGTTATGGTCCCATTTGGAAAACAGATGATACAGCACTAAGCTGTAGGGTGTGGCTACCTGGTGATTGACAAACTACCTATCACCCCCAAGCTCCAACCATTTATCCAAATATGGTCACTTCTGGTTCCAAAAAACAAGATGGCCACAGTCAAAATGCCAAACTGGAGGCATCAAAACTACAGACCTCAAACCAATGGGCGATGGCACGTCCACTTTTTTTATACAGTGTATGGAGGAAAATTAAGCTGTTGTTGTTGTTTTGTTAAGTCTTAATTACACTTATAGTCTTAGGTCAGACTCATAAATTAAAAAGGCATCTAATTATTGTACAAAATAAAACATACCTTCAGCTGGTTTTGGCAGTCTTCCAGGCCAATCTCACTTAGGATGTTTTTCACCGCCTTGCGTGCCTTTCGTATCTTCTCAATATTTCCAACTGGAAGCTGATACATTATTTCTCACAAGCCTTGTAATAAAAAAACAAGTTCTAATGTTATGGAGCATTAACATATAAAACTATGACAAATATCACTGAACTAAATATTTATTATATATATTTAGTGTGTTCAAATGTACGTCACAGTGCTGTCACAACATATCCTAGAAAGTAACCACTATGTAAGTAGAATTTCCAATTTTTACTGCTCCCCCAAATACAGCTGTTTGGTTAAGGGAGACTGTGTAAAAGAAGGCAAACGCAATCAATCAGCTGTGGTCAGTATATGTGCAGCATGTGTACCAACATGCCAGCACACATTTAAACAACCCTATCATCTTATTTTGTTAAGTTAAAATCATAACGCGTTAAGTTAAAGTCATAACGCGCCTTAAAATAAAATAAAAAAAACTTGCATAAAGCTGCAGTATGAATGAAGTAGTAAACAGCAGCATAAAGATGACACCTCTGGACTTGACAGAATGAAAAAAATAATAACAGCATGACTGCACATGGATGTTACTGCATACCCATAAAACACACATAAACGGACTGTGCAACTGCAGATGTCACCTGGAGTATCTCACACTGTAAGGCTGGTATTTTAGCGAATTAAACGTGTGCATTTAGTTTTACATCACCCTTCACTCAATTTAATCCATGCTAACAGTGCCGAGTGTTTGCTGCCATCACTGGATTTATTAAAAGCACCTAGTTACACGCTGACAACAACAAGCCGGGTCACTGAGCCGACCACGCCGCTCCTTCCTACTTCAGGATGCCCACAGCATCCATGCAGATATTTACCGTGTCCAATTTTCTGTGTAGGTTAACGATAGTTGTCGCTGTGCCACCTCCGACAGGGCTAACGTTTTCCACTACCACCGGCCCTCAACTGTGCGTGTGTCGGTCAGCTGCGTCTGCTCCCGGTGCTGCACACAGAAAGTCATCAGAGCAGCATCCTCTGTCTGCATTCGCCGCTGTGTGAACAACGTAGTGAAATATTAAAGGCGATGTTTGCGAACCCACTCCAGAGGTAAGTTATTTTAGGTCCAGCTTTTGTCTCTTTCTTCCCCTATTGAGGAAAAAATGGCGCTCAAGTTCAGGATCTGACGTAGCCGTCCTCATTTGCATACTGCAAAAACTGACCAATGGGAGACTTCCCTGCCTAAAAACTAAATAACTTTATATTCTTTCTCCACGACTTTCAGCCATTGTTCCCGAGTATCCAGGTGGTACAGTTTATAATTCTGTTTTTGAATTTCATGTAGTAAATGACCGATTAATTGGACTTTAGTGTAATCCAACAGATAGCTAGGTAAGGGGGCGTGGCTACTGCGACCCCCACTGGCAGTCACGTGCTACATGACTCAGGCTAACCAATGAGCTGTCGAGAAAATGAGCTAAATGGGCGGTGCTTGCAGTGTGATGTCATATCATGCTACTTTTTTTAGCCAATAAAATCGAACCACCATTTTGAAGGAGGAGAAGAAGTGAAATTGATAGTTTAGATGTATTAAAGCTAGCATAGCATAAGGTCTTGGGACATTTTAATATGTTTACCGATTACAAAAAAAACCCTTCAAAATGCTAGCTACCACCGCATGATGATTTATACCAATAGCGAAACTTAATTTTAGATTTTAATGCTTAGTGATTCCTACTTGTAAACGACAATTCAATCGTTTAAGATTAACAGTCTTATGTTTGGCCTTTCCACCTACCAACTTGCAACCATTCTCACTCTCGCACAGTGGAGCAAAACCCAGTCCACCTGTCTGAATTACGGCCTACCTTTACGAACCTTTTATTAACCTTTACGAACTAAGGTCAGTTTGTTCGGAGACAAGTTGCCAACTCATCAAAATGACAATGTGATGTTACCCCACTTACAATTTCTTTGCGTTATTTTGACGACTGAGTCATATTATTAGCTATTTCACAGTACCACATGTCCATACGTTAAAACAGCCCTTTATCCACACCAATTTATGCTGTAATTGTCCGTTACAATTCCCTCATATTTGACATCTGCCACTCATCTGTCAAATCCTAACTTGGAAATGTTTTTCAAAATTCTTTGGCATTGAAGCAGTTTGGTGTTAGAGTAACAACCTAATTTAAAATTTGACTAACAACATGACATAGACCATTGTGCCCTCTGATCAGGCAATGCAAACCAGGATGATTCCATTTTCTGGGCAAACAGAGGAACACTGTAAGACACAGAGTAAAGTGTCAACATCTATAATTCTGCATCTGGCCATGGCAGCGCAGTCACATCCCAAAGGGAAAAGGAGGCAAGGACAACTGAGTTGGATAACATCATCTCTACACCTAAAGTAGAGAAGAAAGGGAGAAGGATTTCTCACTTTGAGATTCCTTCGTCAAACAAATACAAAGGTTATTCAATTAAACCAATTAGTGAGCCAACAATCAAAATCAACCACTTAAGAGTTCATTCATGCTTGCCCGGTCATACCGAACAGGCTGTGATGTAGACTGTGTGCTGCTGTGCAGTGTCATGTTTGGGTGTGCAGGAATGTGTGTTTTGTTCCTGGTAGATTAATAGGTTGTCTGCTATGTTGCTATTGTGATTACTATCAAATGCACCATGGCCATTTCTTATATTTCTATATACACTCCATAACACACTTTGACCACGCTGACATGATTGGCGTATGAAAGCATGTGAATGCTCCATTGATCTATTAGTCATATCAATACTTTACTGTGCAACACTTATTTGGCTCCTCTTAGAAAAGTTTCCTCTCTCACATGCAACACCAAGCATATGTTTCAGTGACTGTAATTCATTTTGAAACATTTCTCCAGAGGAAATCACATTGGATGTGTATACATTCTTCTTTCCCGTGATATTCTAATGATGTTGAGGCTCAGTGAGCAACATTGCTATCTATTACAATATCTGGCATTTGTAATATATAAATACCAGTACTATTTCATAGTAGGCAAGGATCTTATCGTGCGTACAAATGCAGGTGACATCCGTCTCGTTCAGGGACAAACTACAGCAATGGAAATTACCAAATGTCCATTTTACTCTCTAGCCAGTAGGCCAACCTGGCAACCTAATCTGAATTTTCACCTCTAAATTTCTGTAACTATTAATTAGTTGGGTTGAAAAGGGCTTCAGGATGATAGAGTAAATTATAGGGGCAAGAGGGTGGAGGACACACTGTAGTTGCTGAGCTATTTAATAATTGGACTGTATTTGAAGTGTTTAGCATTTATTGAATTTGTCATCAAAGCGATGAACCGTTACGAAGAAAAAAACAAACAAAAAAAATCTGTTTTGACAGATATCGCAATTTTAGTGGAAATGGTAATTGTTGCATTTAATTTTCACCGGGCAACAAAAATAAAAAAAATTACAATGTGATTTTTTTTTTTTACAATGGGATGTTGACACATTCACCTTTATATAAAAAAAAAAAAAAAAAAAAAATTGCAGCTCCTGTAATTTGGATATTTTGATAAATTGTTCCACCCTAGCAGCCCCAAAATGTGGATTACAGACCGTTTCCAGGACATTTAACTTATGTACAACCAAGACTCATGCGTCCACAGATCAGAAACATATGTCGTTTGAATTATGTAGATTTGATCAAGAACATGTGTAGGAATGTAGAACTGTTCCAAAGACCACACACCCACCAAAACAGTCAGAAACCAGAAATGTATTAAATTAATCACTTTCATTACTTTGACAAGCACAATTTACAGTCAGAAACAGGCTATGGTCCATTAGTGCCTTAGACAAGCAAGTAATTAATACATTAGTCATTTGTAACATGAGGGCAGGATTCTTTCAAAACTGCAGTTGGATCACCTTTAATATTTGTAAAGACATGAGACATTTAGCTGTACAAGAGACTGTGCATCATGTCGCCCATGACTCAAGAGAGGCATGAGGAACAGTCTGGCATGTCATTTGTCACTCACACTGCCTCAGAGAGGTCTGTGTACAACTAGCATGTCTTTCACATGAGAGATATAGACATGCAAGTCCAAATCCACCACATACAGATCATTTACGTTTGAGCACACTTTAGAAATAGCTCATTTGCTGGATTTTCAGATCCTGGGAGAACAAGGACTGATCCCTTGGCAAGACACTAAAGCTGATGATACACGGAGCAACTTTTAGAGCAATCGTGCTGGGCAACGTTGCAGTCAGTGGTAATGAGTAAAGATTACTACCGTAATCCCCTTCCCCCACCACCCGCCCACCCCGCACCGCCGCTATCCGTTCAAAACCTAGTCGAACTTGCCTCCAGCAAGATAGCCCAGCAACATTACTGAAAAAGTTACCCTGTGTATCATCAGCTTAATATAAAGATCTGAAAAAACCAGGGCTGTGTTGTTAATCACAGTATTTCTTTAACCTACAAAAGATTTTGTGCATTTTAAACCAGATTAACCTCTCTCCATTAGAGGCGAGGAGTGCATTAGTGTATGCAGCTTCTCTGTAGCGCAGAGTACAGAGAATCTCCCACAGCAGTTCCTACATGCCTTTCGAGTAAAGGGAAACCACTGGAGGTCACAAATGGCAATCACAGCACACTTAATCCATGTAGCGTTAAAAAAAACCACATCAATATCTTTTCAGGAAAACACTGTTAGATGGGCCACAGCAGAATACCTGGGCAAAACACACGTAAAGATGGAGCTTTAAACATGCCCCCAAAATATCTAAATCCAATAAATAAAAATGCATTGAGGTGAGCTGCAATAAAGAAAGAGGTTACGTCATTGTCATAATTTCATTTAAACTATGCAAAGTGAGGGGTCTGTAGTACAGAATCCACATGAGGCATTGATTCTTTTAAACACTTAAAAAAATCATCTACAGACAAAAATGTATTTGTGTTGAACAGACACAGGATTTACATGACTTTTAACAGGTAATCAATTGAGAACATGATTTCAAAATCAATCAATTGTACATTTTGTAAACTGGATTTGATTTAGGAAACAAACCACCCCAAACATGTTGGGGTGGTCCCATCTCCAAAGAGTCGTCCATTTTGTTGCATAATGTCATTTGAGCCTGGGCTAGAGTTCTTTTAGCTGACAGATTTCATTTTGTCCGTAAGAGGGAGGAGAGAACATGAGGAGATTATCTTCCAGATAAAATTTTAGACTTTTGAGGTATTGAACCAATCGTTTCCAATTTTATGAGGTAAAAAAAAAGAAAAAAGAAAGTCCTGGAAGTAATAATAGGACACTGCATTTTCCATGGTGGCTGGAATGTAGCCCCTTGTCCCAAACACCTCACCGACCCCTCTTCTCACATGGTGAAAGCAGAGGCTAAGGATGATCTGTGCAATTTCATATGGGACAGGGGCAGAGGGTAGTTATGCACCATACTGGACCATGGAGAAATTCTTCATGGCGCTGTCCAGTGCCACACCGGCCTCCTGCATTTCGTACCTGTGGGCAACACCAAGCATTAGAATCAGTTCTCTCTATACGCTTTATATTCTTACTACAGTTGTATTAGTAGAAAACCTCCACATGTTAACTCACTCCACACTCACCAGTCAGAGGTGGAGACAGTGTAGTAGACAGGCAGCTGGGAGGAGCTCAACTCCTCCAGGCCGCACGCTCCCATGTTGGAGAAGTGAAGCCAGTCTCCCACACTGAGCTCTGGCAACAGGCAGCGCTCCACCACATGGTCCAGCTGGTCCAGTGACGGGCCCCACAGGCTGCTGGGATACACTGCCTCCTCAGCACACAACGCATGCTGAATGAGAGAGGAAATAGTGCCATCAAAATAGGCAACAGTCAAAATAATAATAATAATAATATAATAATAAGGGGGGGGGGCTCTTCCCTAACTGATCAAGACCTTCTGTCTCAGTTAATGGACATCTCTACTACACATGTAAAGTTTGCTTTTTGATTGTGAGGTAAACAACTGTCACCAACAGTCCTGATCTGGTAAGGAGTTTGGTAACAAACAGCTGTGGGTCGCCATTAACCTTTTTACTAAAGACCTACTAACCTTGTGCACTGACGGGGCAGCGATGGATTTTCCCAGCAGCTTGCGGTTGAATGGGCCATAAACACCCTCATTCATGTAGTACAGGA